GAGGGGTCCAGTGTTGGTGGTTGGTGTTTGTATGTCTATTTTCTGAGAGGGGTCCAGTTTCGGTGGTTGTTGTTTGTATGTCTTTTTTCTGAGAGGAGTCCAGTTTTGGTGGTTGTTGTTTGTATGTCTTTTTTCTGAGAGGAGTCCAGTGTTGGTGGTTGGTGTTTGTATGTCTATTTTCTGAGAGGGGTCCAGTGTTGGTGGTTGTTGTTTGTATGTCTATTTTCTGAGAGGAGTCCAGTGTTGGTGGTTGGTGTTTGTATGTCTATTTTCTGAGAGGAGTCCATGTTGGTGGTTGTTGTTTGTATGTCTTTTTTCTGAGAGGAGTCCAGTTTTGGTGGTTGTTGTTTGTATGTCTTTTTTCTGAGAGGGGTCCAGTGTTGGTGGTTGTTGTTTGTCTATTTTCTGAGAGGAGTCCAGTGATGGTGATTGTTGTTAGTCTATTTTCTGAGAGGAGTCCAGTGTTGGTGCTTGTTGTTTGTCTATTTTCTGAGAGGGGTCCAGTGTTGGTGGATGTTCTTGTTTGTATGTCTATTTTCTGAGAGGGGTCCAGTGTTGGTGATTGGTGTTTGTATGTCTATTTTCTGAGAGGGGTCCAGTGTTGGTGGTTGTTGTTTGTATGTCTATTTTCTGAGAGGAGTCCAGTGTTGGTTGTTCTTGTTTGTATGTCTATTTTCTGAGAGGGGTCCAGTGTTTGTGGTTGTTGTTTGTATGTCTATTTTCTGAGAGGAGTCCAGTGTTGGTGGTTGGTGTTTTTATGTCTATTTTCTGAGAGGAGTCCAGTGTTGGTGGTTGGTGTTTGTCTATTTTCTGAGAGGGGTCCAGTGTTGGTGGTTGTTGTTTGTATGTCTATTTTCTGAGAGGAGTCAGGTGTTGGTGGTTGGTGTTTGTATGTTTTTTTTCTGAGAGGGGTCCAGTGTTGGTGGTTGTTGTTTGTCTATTTTCTGAAAGGGGTCCAGTGTTGGTGGTTGTTGTATATTTTCTGAGAGGGGTCCAGTGTTGGTGGTTGTTGTTTGTATGTCTATTTTCTGAGAGGAGTCCAGTATGAGTGGTTGGTGTTTGCATGTCTATTTTCTGAGAGGGGTCCAGTTTCTGTGGTTGTTGTTTGTATGTCTATTTTCTGAGAGGAGTCCAGTGTTGGTGGTTGGTGTTTGTATGTCTTTTTTCTGAGAGGAGTCCAGTGTTGGTGGTTGTTGTTTGTCTATTTTCTAAGAGGAGTCAAGTGTTGGTTGTTCTTGTTTGTATGTCTATTTTCTGAGAGAGGTCCAGTGTTGGTGGTTGTTGTTTGTCTATTTTCTGAGAGGGATCTGGTGTTGGTGGTTGGTGTTTGTATGTCTATTTTCTGAGAGGAGTCCAGTTTTGGTGATTGTTGTTTGTATGTCTATTTTCTGAGAGAGGTCCAGTGTTGGTGGTTGTTGTTTGTCTATTTTCTGAGAGGGATCTGGTGTTGGTGGTTGGTGTTTGTATGTCTTTTTCGTGAGAAGGGTCCAGTGTTGGTGGTTGTTTGTATGTCTATTTTCTGAGAGGGGTCCAGTTTTGGTGGTTGTTGTTTGTATGTCTTTTTTCTGAGAGGAGTCTAGTTTTGGTGGTTGTTGTTTTATGTCTTTTTTCTGAGAGGAGTCCAGTTTTGGTGGTTGTTGTTTGTATGTCTTTTTTCTGAGAGGAGTCCAGTTTCGGTGGCTGTTGTTTGTATGTCTTTTTTCTGAGAGGGGTCCAGTGTTGGTGGTTGTTGTTTGTATGTCTTTTTTCTGAGTGGAGTCCAGTTTTGGTGGTTGTTGTTTGTATGTCTTTTTTCTGAGAGGGGTCCAGTTTCGGTGGTTGTTGTTTGTATGTCTTTTTTCTGAGAGGAGTCCAGTTTTGGTGGTTGTTGTTTGTATGTCTTTTTTCTGAGAGGGGTCCAGTGTTGGTGGGTCTTGTTTGTATGTCTATTTTCTGAGAGGAGTCCAGTGTTGGTGGTTGTTGTTTGTACGTCTATTTTCTGAGAAGAGTCCAGTGTTGGTGGTTGTTGTTTGTATGTCTTTTTTCTGAGAGGGGTCCAGTGTTGGTGGTTGGTGTTTGTATGTCTATTTTCTGAGAGGGGTCCAGTTTCGGTGGTTGTTGTTTGTTTGTCTTTTTTCTGAGAGGAGTCCAGTTTTGGTGGTTGTTGTTTGTATGTCTTTTTTCTGAGAGGGGTCCAGTGTTGGTGGTTGGTGTTTGTATGTCTATTTTCTGAGAGGGGTCCAGTTTTGGTGGTTGTTGTTTGTATGTCTTTTTGTCTGAGAGGAGTCCAGTTTTGGTGGTTGTTGTTTGTATGTCTTTTTTCTGAGAGGAGTCCAGTTTTGGTGGTTGTTGTTTGTATGTCTTTTTTCTGAGAGGAGTCCAGTTTTGGTGGTTGTTGTTTGTATGTCTTTTTTCTGAGAGGGGTCCAGTGTTGGTGGTTGTTGTTTGTCTATTTTCTGAGTGGAGTCCAGTGTTGGTGGTTGTTGTTTGTATGTCTATTTTCTGAGAGGGGTCCAGTTTCGGTGGTTGTTGTTTGTATGTCTTTTTTCTGAGAGGAGTCCAGTTTTGGTGGTTGTTGTTTGTATGTCTTTTTTCTGAGAGGGGTCCAGTGTTGGTGGTTGGTGTTTGTATGTCTATTTTCTGAGAGGGGTCCAGTTTCGGTGGTTGTTGTTTGTATGTCTTTTTTCTGAGAGGAGTCCAGTTTTGGTGGTTGTTGTTTGTATGTCTTTTTTTCTGAGAGGAGTCCAGTGTTGGTGGTTGGTGTTTGTATGTCTATTTTCTGAGAGGGGTCCAGTGTTGGTGGTTGTTGTTTGTATGTCTATTTTCTGAGAGGAGTCCAGTGTTGGTGGTTGGTGTTTGTATGTCTATTTTCTGAGAGGAGTCCATGTTGGTGGTTGTTGTTTGTATGTCTTTTTTCTGAGAGGAGTCCAGTTTTGGTGGTTGTTGTTTGTATGTCTTTTTTCTGAGAGGGGTCCAGTGTTGGTGGTTGTTGTTTGTCTATTTTCTGAGAGGAGTCCAGTGATGGTGATTGTTGTTAGTCTATTTTCTGAGAGGAGTCCAGTGTTGGTGCTTGTTGTTTGTCTATTTTCTGAGAGGGGTCCAGTGTTGGTGGATGTTCTTGTTTGTATGTCTATTTTCTGAGAGGGGTCCAGTGTTGGTGATTGGTGTTTGTATGTCTATTTTCTGAGAGGGGTCCAGTGTTGGTGGTTGTTGTTTGTATGTCTATTTTCTGAGAGGAGTCCAGTGTTGGTTGTTCTTGTTTGTATGTCTATTTTCTGAGAGGGGTCCAGTGTTTGTGGTTGTTGTTTGTATGTCTATTTTCTGAGAGGAGTCCAGTGTTGGTGGTTGGTGTTTTTATGTCTATTTTCTGAGAGGAGTCCAGTGTTGGTGGTTGGTGTTTGTCTATTTTCTGAGAGGGGTCCAGTGTTGGTGGTTGTTGTTTGTATGTCTATTTTCTGAGAGGAGTCAGGTGTTGGTGGTTGGTGTTTGTATGTTTTTTTTCTGAGAGGGGTCCAGTGTTGGTGGTTGTTGTTTGTCTATTTTCTGAAAGGGGTCCAGTGTTGGTGGTTGTTGTATATTTTCTGAGAGGGGTCCAGTTTTGGTGGTTGGTGTTTGTATGTCTATTTTCTGAGAGGAGTCCAGTGTTGGTGGTTGGTGTTTGTGTGTCTATTTTCTGAGAGGAGTCCAGTGTTGGTGTTGTTGTTTGTATGTATTTTTTCTGAGAGGAGTCAGGTGTTGGTGGTTGGTGTTTGTATGTTTTTTTTCTGAGAGGGGACCAGTGTTGGTGGTTGTTGTTTGTCTATTTTCTGAGAGGGGTCCAGTGTTGGTGGTTGTTGTTTATTTTCTGAGAGGGGTCCAGTTTTGGTTGTTGGTGTTCGTCTATTTTCTGAGAGGGGTCCAGTGTTGGTGGTTGTTGTTTGTCTATTTTCTGAGAGGGGTCCAGTGTTGGTGGTTGTTGTTTGTCTATTTTCTGAGTGGAGTCCAGTGTTGGTGGTTGTTGTATGTCTATTTTCTGAGAGGGGTCCAGTGTTGGTGGTTGTTGTTTGTATGTCTTTTTTCTGAGAGGAGTCTGGTGTTGGTGGTTGTTGTTTGTATGTCTATTTTCTGAGAGGGGTCCAGTGTTGGTGGTTGTTGTTTGTATGTCTATTTTCTGAGAGGGGTCCAGTGTTGGTGGTTGTTGTTTGTATGTCTATTTTCTGAGAGGAGTCCAGTGTTGGTGGTTGTTGTTTGTCTATTTTCTGAGAGGAGTCCAGTGTTGGTTGTTCTTGTTTGTATGTCTATTTTCTGAGAGGGGTCCAGTGTTGGTGGTTGTTGTTTATATGTCTATTTTCTGAGAGGGGTCCGGTGTTGGTGGTTGATGTTGTCTGCTGTACTGTCGAATATTTTGTGGTAATTCTTCACATCTTTTTCATATACATGTATTATGGAAAATTTTTAAGACAGGAATGCCATAGATTACTCATAGTTTTGTCAAGCACCAACAACAATTCAGGGACATTTTGTGCATTTTCTTATAATTTTGGTCAGGTTTATTAATATACAATGCAGGCTAGCTCTTTGCTTATACTAGAAGTAACCAAAGACTTTAAAATTGGTATTTGCTGCTTCTCAGCTAAGCACGCAGCATTAAGGAGTAAGAGCAAAGACTGGTAGGCTCGGAGTCAGAATAATGTGTCTGGGTAAGGTGACATCTCTTCCTGCGGATTGTTACCTTGTGAACTAGCACGTTAAAAATCCGGCTCAGTGTGTTGGTCTAGTACAAAGCAGGGTAAATGTCCATATAACATTAACATGTTCTCGTCCTGAATATGCATATTAATTTGCCGCTGGACGTTAAGCAGTCATCCATCATCATCATCATCATATACTAGAAGTGCCAACCTTTCCTATTGCAGGAGATATTACTCTTGGATGTACCACTATGAATTAGCTTATACAAATTAGTACCTCAATTGAAAACAGGTTTTCTAGGTACATGTAGTATTTTTCACCAATTAAAGGGTACTATGAATTTTACTTACCTGTAATTTACCAAGGAATTGGTACTCATTTTAGTTGACATCTGAAATTCATAAAAAAAAAAGATGTAAAAATTTAAATCGTTACATTACATGTATGTTTCATATCTGTACTTTTGATTGGCTGAAAGCAACTGCTAGGCAATATCAAATTGTATTTCTCAATAAAATTTGACATTTGTGACAGCATGTGCTTTTCATGACAACTTTACAACAATGCATATGAAAACAAAAGGAAAATTTGCTATAACTCATAATTTGATGGTTGTAGCATAAAAATGTAATTATGTATAGGAATTGAATGCTTCTTTTTTAATTTTATAGGGTTGTAAAAGCATTTATTGTGCACACATTTTTAGTATGAAGTGCTTCCGTACTTCAGTCAATGCTTTTACACCCAACAAAAGTACAAACAGAGGCATTCAATTCTTAAATAAAATGAAATTTCAAAATTCTAAATTACACTTTCTGTAATGGTAACCTTTATCATAATTGCAATTAATAAATGAATGTGTCCATCGGACACAGATGATGCCCCGCTTGCATATAACATTATAAAGGAACATAACTAGGACACTGTAAAAGTGAAACCACCCAAAATGGAACTTGATCTGTGTTTTGTGGTAATAAGCATTGTGTATAAGTTTCCTAACATTTGGTTGCGGCAAACAAAAGTTAGAGAACGGAAACGAAAAATTCATCATTTTTTCTATTTATGAAGGGGCATAACTCCATAACGGTAAAAGAGATGCCACCCAAATTTGAAATTGATCTAAGTTTTGTGGTAATAAGCATTGTGTATAAGTTTCATGACATTTGGTTGAGGCAAACTAAAGATAGAGAACAGAAAACAGAAAACAATTTCAGGACGTACGAACGTACAAGGGTAAACCTTAATGCCCCCTCCGTCACGGCGGGGACATAAATGGAAATTCGCTGTAAGTACATGAAGTAAGCAAAAAGAGCTACTACTAAGGTGATTAATTCTAAAAGCAGGCAGAAGGCAGAATCAATACCTCCTACATTACCCAAAAACAATCACAGCCATACTTCTGAAAAACATCTTATACTGTTACACATGCTTAAACATTGCAGTCATTATTAATAAAGCAAAAATTTACTCACCAAAATAAATTTTCTGGAAATTCCTAACTCAGCATTTTATCATCTATATATCTTTTGCTTCTAATTGAAGCTTCAATGTGTGGTTTGCTACAATGTTAATGTCTCTTGTTTTGTACAAAATTGAATACAATCAATTATGAATGGCTGAGCTTCTTTTAATCTAGAAAATACAAAGAAATCAATAATGTATTAACATTGATATGATATATTCATCAACAGAACAACACCTCTAATTACTCTGATCAAGTATCAAAATATTAACCAGCTAGGAGGTGACAAAAGTCATTACATCTTTTAATAATCAAATCTTACAAGAGAGATTTCTTGCACAATCCATCAGTAGACTGATGTTATTTTCTCTATAATAAAATGAGAAGCTGGGATGACAGCAATCCATGAATACCAAAAGAAAAATATCTGTATTGTTCATTTACTCTATTAAACTATTGGTTGATAATAGCATTTTTTATTTTTACTAACATCCATTTTTCCAAATAACAGGGTAAGGGACACAACATTATTATGTCTTTTACTCAAAGAATATATTGTAAACATTTCTGTAAAAGTTCCATATACAATATTTCTTTGAACCGCTTGATTATCCCTTTAGTGTCTTTCGCCTCTCTATCAAAAAGGTAAAAATAGAATCTTAATTTAGAGTTGAAATAATTTACATTTTCATTTTATTTAAGTAAAATTGATCTACAAAGAGTTGTCCTAAATTTAAAAAAATTATATTGAGCTACATATAAACAATGATAATTGAATAATGTATAACAGTATTTAGCAAAAATAAATCTATTACACAAGATGTGCAATAAGACAAACTCTGTATTTCTAGTGGAGCCAAAAAATCAAAATAACACTTTGAAAATTTGGAGTGTTGGAAGAGGTCTTTTCTGGATTAGGCTAGAATCTAGATCATATTTTCTATATCCGTGTTACATACATATATATATATAAAGCACAAACATAAAAATCCACCATAAATTATACAATTGGTTATGTTTTTCCATACAAACACATGAGCAATCCAACAATACAAAATATAGATCTGTCCAACACCAGAATAAAATGTTTTACCGTTTTAACATGTTTGTAAAATCTATTGATATTTTTCTGTCCTATCGTCCTATTTTTTTCAAACACTCATTTATCTATTCAATTTACTTTCTTTATGGCATAATAACAATATTTTCTCATGTTATAATTAATAATTTTTTTAAAGATTTTCCTTAACTAAAAGTATAGCTTAATAACAAAAGAATAAAATAAAACTTTAACATTAAATTAATTCAAACAATTAATTTAAACAATAGGGTTTAAAGATAAAAAAGAAATTGTTTACAGTACACCAGAAATAGGTATCTGACAGAACCGAAAAGAGATCTGTTTACAATTCATCACTATCAAGCTGCTGATCAAATATAAAGTCATTCTGTTAAGTAGCTTCTAAGAAAAGTGTAAGGAATATTCGGTGGATGAAATGACAGACAAAGTGATAGCAATATAACCTAATTTGTTGGACAAATGGATGGAAAAATGACAGAAAAGATAGTCTACCTGAAAATCAGTTTAATGTAAATTCTGAAACATGATGACTATTGAATTTATACAATAATGGAAATTACCAGTCTTTGTTATGCTAGAATGTAAAATTTCCTACCTGTAAAAAACTAATTCATATACATGTACCAGCACTGAGAATTATCCTTCCTGATGATGTGCCAAATCTTTGATTGAAATGATGTCAGAAAAACCATGTCAACAAGACAATTAGCTGATAATATCATCTTTTTTTATTGTCAAATTAATATCCTACTGCTAATAATTAGAGGCAACCAGTCTTACATGATTCCTTTGTACTTAGACGTAAATTGGCTCAGATCTTGATCGTTAATGCATTTGTAATAACCTGCATTTACCACATGTTCAAATTGATTGTGATTGCTGCTGAGAATGAGTTATATGCATTGAAGAATAGTTTCTTCAAAAGTTTTGAAATGCATTTTCACATTTTCTTAAATATTTATTCACACCTTTGGATATTTTTTTAAGTTCTGAGATTTCATGCAGTCATGTTATATGGCTGTAGTAGATGAGAGGTATTGAAAAATAATATTTGTAGCCACATATTTCAATAAACTATTGACAAATATTCATTCACACCTTTGGTTTTTTTTTTTAGATTTTGTGCAGTGTTTAACATGGCTGTAGTAAATGAGAGGTATTGTAATAAAATATTTGTAGCCACAACTTATATTTTAATATACTGTGACACAGAGATATATCTTGCCTGTATGTAATTAGATAGTATTAATGCAATTTTGAATTTAAATGGCAACACTTTATGTGCAAAACATTCAAGGGCAATCAACCATGATTGAAGGTACATGGCCAAATAATCTCCATGAAAATTAGATATGCCAATTCTTATACAACTGCATACATGCAAATGGTTCCCCTTAAAATGACCTTATCACAAACTTTGACATGTAAACTAACTAAAAGTTCCAAAATCAATAACTGTTACTGAGGGGAAGAGCCATTTCAATCCATGGAAATGAGATTTGCTATTGCTATTACCATGATTACAACTGCATACCAAATATCATAGACTATCCATTTTTGATTTATCTTAAACTGACCGAATCACAAACTTTAACATATCAAAAAGACACAAAAATTCAAAGTCAATAGACCATGATTTAGGGTATGGCCATATAATCTCTATGGAAATGAGATTATGCTAATGCTAATACAACTGCATACCAAATATCATTGACTTACCATTAGTGGTCCCCATTAAACTGACCTAATCACAAATTTAAAATCAAAACTAAACAAAGCCCATGTAACAACAGCATTCTAAATTTCCTTGACTTTAATACCAGTGCTGGTTCCTCTTAAATTCATCTGATCACATACTATATATATGTTAATAATCGTTTTTACCTGTATAAGAATGAGTTTTTCTAGATCGAATCAGTCAACCAAATGATTTACCCTTGTTTCACTTCCAATGTTTACATTCTTTTCCATTTAATAACTGAACAGGCCTAGTTCATGTCTAACCCATCTCTAGCTATAGGAATCAATTAATGTTCACATGAATACGGATTCAATGAGGTCGAATTTTTCACTTGCAAGTGAATAATTCATTAGCAATGTTTCTTTGCTTATTTTGACAAAACTGAACCAAACTGGTTGTTAAAAGTGAATTATTATTTCACTTTCATTAATGATTGAACAAAAAAAAAACATATTTAATTTTTTTTATATCTCGTAGCTAATACATACCCCTTTAATACATATACTCAGCATACATGATTTGGGATAATAATTTAGCTTTCATTTTCAGTCATGAAGAAATATTTGTCATACTTGACCTACTATGCTAACTGCAATGTAACTTCATATAACAATCACTTTTACACTGTGATCATGATGATGGTAATTAATTATAAGCACATGGTGTATTGCACTACATGTCTCTTTATCTTTATGTCATTGAGTTTTAATTGAAATAATTCTATCATGCCAGGCTCTATGTTCAATTTACACGGTATAAAGATAATGACAATTATAATGCCTACATGTACCATGTTAAAATGAGCATAGAGCATGGTATGAATGGATGATTTCTTAAATATTATCATAAATTGAATATCAACAGCACTTGCGGACTCATGAAAAAGATAATTTTACAAGGGAAATATTCACAGATATAAGTCATGTTTGTAAGTGCAATAACTGTTTAGTATAACCTTTATCTCTATATCTACAGATAATATTGTGAAGTAATCATACTAAATATCTCTAGATCAACAAATAATTATGGAAAGTAAACATCTTGATATAAATAAATAGGCACTCACCTATTTTTAGCATAAAGTTCCAACCAATCTGTATTTTCTGTTTGTAACGTACAATCTCTTAATCAACCAATGAAGTGATGTTAAGCATAATATATCTGTATATCTCTCTATCCTATAATCAATGAAAAACAGTAACAAATATATGTAAATGGAAATATTACAATCACTCGGAAATACAGTAAATGACATCTACATCAAAACAGACAAAATTAACACATTACAAAAACTGATTTTGAATAAAACTCAAATACATTGTACATCTATCCTTTTGCAAAGCAGAAGACTCCAAAACGATTATACCATTAGTTTAAAATGTCAACTACATTCAGAGAAAACGATAGATTGATTTTCTTTCAGTACAATCAAGCTCTGAATCAGGCTGGCAAGAATATAATGTATTGATTTAATATTGTACCATTTTTACAAGCTCTTGATTAACAATAGGTAAAATGACAGCAAACATAAACAATTTTATAAAGCCTTTGATTAGCCATTGATTATCAAATTAACTATCCTTCCTCATAAATATCTCTACAATTATTGGGAAATTGATGTCATCTGTATAAGGAAAGATGGAAATACATGAACTAAATTAATAATATATCTAAGAATCTAACAATTGCAACACATTGTTATAATATATTTGTTACAAATTTGATCTACCATATATAGAATACCAATTAACAATAATAAAAAAATTCTATATAGAAAATCTAATAAGGGAGGTAATCTAATAATTTTATGAATTTGCAATCACATACATTTTTGGCAACATAGAAATACAGTTACATCTCTAATGAAATGAATTTTTGCCCGACTCAATTTGGAAACCTCACCAGTAGTTACGGCATATATCAATGTTGTTCTTTATTTGGAGAATCATGATTCAATGGCAGATCTATAATAATTTTGTTAAATTTATTTGATCTAAGACTCAGCACAATTTAGAGCTTGACATATTGTGTTGGCTGTATGTTGCCCTCACAATGTCTTTTGGTTATTTTTGTTGTTGGGTTTGCTTTCTCATTGACAATTACCCCAAATCTCCTTTTATCATATTTCCAAACATGAAAAATATCCATGAAATTGGAAAGCAAGGATATGCTTGTGCCTGAAAAGACAATAATCATATATCTTGAATTATAATATCAATTTCATCCCTACCCATGTCTATAAATATCCACCTTTCTTGTAATGATTGAGATAAATATCAGTTTTTATAGAAATCAACTGTGAAAATTTCTTTAAAAAATAGTTAATTACTACTTTAAATCATTCTTTATATGGGTTAGACCCCCCTGCTCTACTACATATTGTTTGGTTTTGTGGGTTCCAAAACCAAAAGTACATATCAGCACTGCAAGTTGTGCATAATTGAAACATTCAGAAATATTCTGGACTCTTTTATGCTTTCAAGTTTGACTTTAATGAAAATTTGAAAATTGTACAATAATGTGTTTTTATCCTGTTTTATGAAGCAGAAATTGACTTTTTAGAGTGTAAAAAATCATTTGGATGTTTTAAATACTGGTATATTACATGCTTTTGATGTTCCTTTTAATTCGGTTGACAGTTTAACTTTTCTACTCTTAACACAACACTTCTACACAATCTTATCAAACAAAGTCAAAGGTTTTCCTATTTAATTAAATGGTCATTTGAAAAATCTAATTGCAAATTTATTTTCAACAACTCATATAGAGCCTTCTTCTATGATGAGATGATTGAACTGTAAATTTTCTCCTTGACAACATACGTTTCGGCAATAAATATAAAAATATGAAGATGTTGTATGATTGCCAATGTGACCACTCTCCACAAGACCAAATGACACAGAAATTAACAACTATAGGTCACTGTTACACTGTATGTAGGCCTTTAACAATGAGCAAAGCCCATACCGCATAGTCAGCTATAAAAGGCCCAGAAAAATGTAAAATAATTGAAACAAGAAAACTAACAGCCTAATTTATGTACATAATAATGAGCGAAAAACACTGATGTTACACAGCAACAAACGACAACCACTGAATTACAGGCTCCTGACTTGGGACAGGCATATACAGAATGTGGTGGGGTTAAACTAGTTTGTTGGCGCCAAACCTCCACCTAACCTGGGACAGTGGTGTAACGGCACAACAAGAACGAATATACAGAATGTGGCGGGGTTAAACTAGTTTGTTGGCGCCAAACCTCCACCTAACCTGGGACAGTGGTGTAACGGCACAACAAGAACGAACTATGCAAAACAATAAACGAAAAACAAATATGAGAAACAGCAAAAAACGACAACCACTCAATTACATGCTCCTGACTTGGACAGGCACATATAGAATGTGGCAGGGTTAAACTAGTTTGAAGGTGCCAACCCTCCCCTAACCTGGGACAGTGGTGTAACAGTACAACATAAGGTAGCAATACACAGTTAGGAGTGTGGTTTCGCATTTTGGCCCCTGTGGATTTTTCTAATATGAAAGTTATTGTGCAATAAATTCATTTTTAGACAGCTGAGTACTAATCTAGCCTTAGAAGTTGGTTTATAAGAACATCAAGATTATTTTTTACATGTTTTGTGGGCTATTTTCTGTTTGACTGTCCGTATTTTTATAGCTAGACCGGCCATAGGTCCAAAAAATAATGTAATGTTTACAAACACTTTTTTTATACACAAACTTTTTGATGCAATTTAAAAAAAAATATGATTTTTATTTGATCTCTTGATAGATATATGTAAACAGTTTCAGAAAAGGTATCACTCCAAGGGATTGAAATTCTACTTCTGGCCAAATTTTTGTGAAATATGTGACATCTTTACCCCCCTTTTTGCAATATTCTATAGCAAATAAATGCAGATTGTTGCCATGGATACACCAAAAAGAAATGATATTTTACCATTTTAACTACTGGATATCAAATCTATGGAAGATACTGATTACATACATATGCTCATATATGACACAAACAGTAAGCTTAATTTGTAAGAAAGCAAGGAAAAGGGGATGGTAAAATTTATGAGAGTAAATTTTAATATTTTTTCCTAACTTTATCATGTTTATATTGCTACCTAAGAACAAACTATTGATAGGTTGTAGGTATTCCTATGGGCACCAATTACCCCATTTACTAGCAGACTTTTTACTGTTTTGTTAGGAATCATAGTGTATGGCTAAACTCAGTAAAGACTTGTCTGAATTCCATTTAATAGATAAATTCAACAACACTTTCCATTTTCTTGATATTTTTTCAATGAATAATTAAGAATTTTCTAAATATACTGCCTAAATTTACCCAAAGGAACTTACTTTAAATACATGAAATATTAACAGTAATAACTGTCCTTTCCTAGATTAAGATATTTCAGTTTTACAGAGGAAACTTTACACAAAATATTACAACAAAAGGGACAATTTTTCTTTCCCTATTGTTAATTTTTCTTTTTTGGATGGTGATTTCTCTTTGGCACCATCTTACAGTGTTTATATATCACATTTTCTTTCGCTATACCCATATCTAGTGACGTTTCAGAAATCAATTAACTTAATCTAAGTATTACAGATAATAATTGAGTCATATTTTATTACCACAAATTACTTAAAACTATACAGAATTCTTCCATAGATACAAAGATTTAGTTTGGAAGTTTGACTGTACCTTTAAAATATATATTACAAAATATACAAACGGGGCATCCTAATTTTACCTGTGATGTTGTTTATCGAGCCCGTAAATTTAGCTACAATCTAGGTAAACTTAACAATCCTTTTAACAAACTTATTCTAAAATGTAACGGAGCCCGTAAATTTAGCTACAATCTGGGTAAACTTATCAATCCTTTTAACAAACTTATTCTAAAAGGTTACCAATTCAACACTTGTTATTAAATTTTTGAATATTGTTTTTATCTGTATAAATAATGATTTTGTTATCACTAAATTAAAACCAACTAATTATTATTGATATACATATATTTACATTCACAGTTCTACAATCTGTTGATACCTATATTTTGGCATTGTACAAGGTCATGTTTTTCTCTGACTGTAAATGACGTCTTTACACTAAATCCATTGGATGTTGAATGTGCAGTTGTTATTGGCTTTGAACTAGCTTTCAGTAACTATGTGTACTCTAAGATCTGTACTTAGTGTCTGTTCAACAGTTGTGTTTTTGTTAGGATTTTTATGTGCTTTGTATTGATCTGACGAGTTTAGCCCTTTTCAACTGATTTTTATAGTTTGTTCTAATGTTGTACTGTTACGCCACTGTCCCTAGTTATGGAGAGGGTTTGGCACCAGCAAACAGGTCTAACCCTGCCACATTCTGTATGAGCCTGTCCCAAGTCAGAAGCCTGTAATTCAGTTGTTGTCGTTTGTTGGTGTTACTTAACCTTGGTTTTTGTTTATTGTTTTGTACATAAATCAGGCTGTGAGTTTTCTCTTTTGAATTGTTTTACATTGGCCACTTTGGGGCCTTTTATAGCCTACTATGAGGTATGGATTTTCTTCATTGTTGAGGCTGTACTGTGACCTATAGTTTTTAACATCTATGTTATTTGGACTTTAGGGAAGATTTGTCTAATTGGAAATCAAACCACATCTTCATATTTTCATATCAAATGCAAAAACAATGAAATTTTGAGTAGATATATATCTAAAATTAAAACCACATTGATCTCTAAAAGGTGTGTTTTTATTACATATTTGCATTTAAGTTAAAACAAGAATGTGTCCATAGTACACGGATGCCCCACTCGCACTATCATTTTCTATGTTCAGTGGACTGTGAAATTGGGGTCAAAACTCTAATTTGGCATTAAAATTAGAAAGATCATATCAAAGGGAACATTTGTTCTAAGTTCCAAGTTGATTGGACTTCTACTTCATCAAAAACTACCTTGACTAAAAACTTTGTCCAAAAACTTAAACCTGAAGCGGGACAGATGGACTGAAGAAAGAAAGAACGGACGAACCAACAGACGGACAAACGAATGGACGCACAGACCGAAAAACATAATGCCCCTAAGTGGGGCATAAAAATAGCTTGCATGCATATCATGTCAAGAAATCACTGGGATCAAAACTGTTTTTGTAAAACCTTGAAATTCCTGTTCATACATGTCATAAGTGGATGAAAACTTTACTCAAACAGTGGAACAAAAATAATCACAAGATGTATAATAGTATTCTAAGCTACAATAGATGGCTTTCATATTCCTGCACTTTCCTGTACATAACATTTCCTATGTCACTATGCTTACTAGTATGTTATTACATCACAGTAAGAACCGATTGTTCAATAATGTCTTTTACTCAGATTGATCCGGGTCAACCAATGTAAATTATTCATGAAAACAACTATAGATTGGTGTATGTATGATATAAGTTCCCTTTTCAGAATTTCTACACGAATTATTTAATAATGATTGGGGTATTAGTAATCCAGAATAATTTAGGGGACAAAAATTTGATTCTGAGGTGGTGGCCTGGCAGATTTTGTAAATAAATATTCTGGCCCCCATTAAGTTGGAAATAAATAATCTTGCTTTATCAAACATGAAAAAAAAATGTTCTGGCCCAAAAATATTTAAGATGTGTAAAATATGTTTGGCTCACTTCACTCGGCATATTTACCAAGGTATACAATTTATTCACGAAATACTGGCAGTGGCAAATGCAAAGCGGCATAGAGAGCGCACCCCTTCGTCTGGAAAATATATATATTTTTTGCTTAAAATTGTCTAAAAATATTTTGCCTCAATATACACTCAGCAAACTTCTTGCGGTTTTGAATAACCCTTTCCAAGTACCCTGGATCAGCCTTGATTTTTATGCTATTATATTTTGATATCGCAATCATGGCAATGCAATGAGTAACCTACCAAAAGGTGACCTGTATCATAAAAGTTAAATTAGTTTAGGATACAATCATTTGATTCAGGATGGGGGAAGTTTTTGTGCAATTTTTTGGACAAGCAGAAAATAACTATTCTGGTCCAGGCCTGAGTGAAAATAAATAATCTGATCGCCTTTAAGTTGGAAATAAATACTCTGACTTGACTTAAAACATTGTTGAAGTATCTAAGATATATTATATTTATCTGAGACTAATATATTGATTGATTGTTGGTTGCTTAGCGTCTAGTGGCAAATATTTCATGCATGTTCAGGACGAGAACAAATTAACAATAAATATAATAGGTAGGTCCTGCAATAATGGCCATCTGGGATGAAGGTCGGGGAAATTGGACAGCCACGGAAAAATGAGGGTATATCATGTATATTGGAGAGGGACATAAATTTAGCCTTGCAACAGACCACCTACGAACCACTCAGTTGTTGCAAGGGTTCTTAACGTGCAAAGAGTGTGGCACTCTCTTTACACGAGCCATCTAATAATTTTAATGTCCCCATTTTAACTGGATATGGCTACTACGTACTTGTACATCCCGCACAGCCAAACAGACGCCCCACTTTGGCGAGGGTTTTACTGCTGGTGAGAGGAAGACTGCAATTGTGATCATATTTCTATTCTCCAGTCGTTAACTTTTTTATTTTCAGACTTTTTTATTTTCCCGCATTTGCGCAGAAATCTACTTCCTTTTTCCGGTCTCGTTTGCATGAGTCTTTGAGTAAAATATATATTTATCAGTCTAGTAAAATATAGGAAGGAACGCAATACCAATTCCATTTTTAATAATTCCTTGAATGGCTTGATATGAAAAAACGTTACCTGATAGCGTTTCTTTGTTTACATTGAATATGACGTCATAACATAAATAACGTCACAACTAAAATATTCCGAACAACAGAACCGAAATCGGAAACGTAAGGGTATTTCCGTTTCTTTTTTGAACAGATTTTGAAGTCATGTAAAATATGTTTGAATTAAAAAAAATAATTCATACAGACTTCGTCCCCTTTCACAGGTAACGCCTGCCTCATAAAATTGAGCTTCGCCTTCGGGCTTGTGGATTCAAAAGTTTATCGTGAAGACTGATTTATATAGTTGTCATCTCGATTTTCATGTTGGATTGGTTAACTCAAATGTAAAACTCACTTTTTCTAGAGAGGAATGATTCCGAAGGAAAGTGTAAATATATGTGTTTTTCTGTATTCTGTGTCGCAACATGTTTGTTTAAAACTAGCGCCATAGTATTCTCCAAATGATAACTAACGAGATAAACCGAAAGTAACTGCATCCACTCTAATATCATATTTGATTGGTCAAAACCAAATAAATTGGCTTATCAGAATTAGCCTCTTTAAATTGTGGTGTTTATGTATGTATGACGATCATGTGACTGTAGTAGGAAGTGAAAGTAGAAGAAATGGTTAAGGTTTTTAAATGCCACAATTTTAAATCACAAAGCGTAGTCCAGGTTGATGGAGAGCCCATTGCATTTTTCAATCACAAAGACAAACTGTTTGTAGCCACGGATAAATGCACGATTGAAGTTTTCTCATTGGGCAGTTCTATCAGTAAAATTAGTTGTTTTTCCACAACAGAACAAACAATCCATGACATAGTGTTTTGTTACCCTGGTAAGAAAAAAATAGAAATTCTATGTGTACACTGTGGTAGTGACCATTGGTTTTTATTATAAAAGAGGGGCGAAAGATACCAGAGGGATATTCAAACTCATAAGTCGAAAATAAACTGACAACGCCATGATGCCTAAAAAAGAAAAACACCAACAGACAAACAATAGTACACAAAACACCGGTAGGTCTTTTCACCACCGAACACCACCGAACACATTAAAATACCATTTAACACACCTAAATATATTGTTTTCATCTTTATTTATATATTTTACTTACATTCTGAACGAGGATGAATGTGTTTATACATATATATACATAACTTAATAAGAAATGATAATAAGAGAACCAAAAAGGACAGTCTTGCAGGGCTGTTGTCAGAACAGTACACTTTCAAGTCGAACATTTTTTTAAATATAATTATTGTGATAATTTCACATTAAATAAAATGTTTTTTTCGAGCCTTCGACTTTTGTCGAAAAAGCGAGACATAGCGATCCTACATTCTGTCGGCGTCGTTGTTGTCGGCGGCGGCCACAAATATTCACTCTGTGGTTAAAGTTTTTGAAATTTTAATAACTTTCTTAAACTATCCTGGATTTCTACCAAACTTTGACAGAAGCTTGTTTATGATCATAAGATAGTATCCAGAAGTAAATTTTGTAAAAAAAAAAATTCCTGTTTTCCCGTATTTTACTTATAAATGGACTTAGTTTTTCTGCCAGGAAACATTACATTCACTCTGTGGTTAAAGTTTTTAAAATTTTGATAACTTTCTCAAACTATCCTGGATTTCTACCAAATTTGGACAGAAGCTTGTTTATGATCATAAGATAGTATCCAGAAGTAAATTTTGTAAAAAAAAAAAATCCTGTTTTCCCGTATTTTACTTATAAATGGACTTAATTTTTCTGCCAGGAAACATTACATTCACTCTGTGGTTAAAGTTTTTAAAATTTTGATAACTTTCTCAAACTATCCTGGATTTCTACCAAATTTGGACAGAAGCTTGTTTATGATCATAAGATAGTATCCAGAAGTAAATTTAAAAAAAAAAATCCTGTTTTTCCGTATTTTACTTATAAATGGACTTAATTTTTCTGCCAGGAAACATTACATTCACTCTGTGGTTAAAGTTTTAAAAATTTTAATAACTTTCTTAAACAATCCTGGATTTGTACCAAACATGGACAGAAGTTTGTTTATGATCAAAAGCTAGTTTCTAGAAGGAAATTTTTATTAAAATTTTGTACTTGTTTATCCATATTTTACTTATAAATGGACTTAGTTTTTCTTCCAGTTAACATTACATACAGTCTGCAGTTAAATTTTTTAAAACATTTATTAGATTCATAAACTATCCTGGATTTTTACCAAACTTGGACAGAAGCTTCTTACAATAAAAAAATTGTATCGAGAGGAATATTTTTATTAAATTTTTTCCTCATCTCATTTTTGTTGAGCCTGCGATTAACAGCAAAAGTAGGCCAGACACTGGGTTCCGCGGAACCCTTAAGAATTTTATTTAAATTTGAATGATTCATTTCTAATAATTGTAAAGTAAAGACAATAAGATAAAATACAATGAAATACACAGTGTAAATCCAGAAGAAATATTGCTGGATCCGGAAGCGTTTTTTTTTTTAATTTTGATTCTCCACTTTAACATCACTAATGCATATAAAAATGTGAAAACATGAGAATAGGATTAAATCTTACGTAATTTAATCGATTTTATTGTTTTATTGTGTAACATTACTGTTTTTCTTAAGGGTTAGTGGTTTTTTTGGGTGTTCGGTGGTGTTAGGTGGTGTTCGGTGGTGAAAAGACCAACCCCACAAAACACAACATAGAAAACTAAAGACTGAGCAACATAATATGAGACAGGTGCTACCTTAGATGCCAGAGAGAAGCAAGCCTTCAGTTTTATGTGATATTCTTGTTAGATAATATATGGTCTGGATGGGGGTCCTTAATTTCTGTTTTCTTCAAATTGTAGGGCTTTATTCTGTATCTTTAAAGCTTATTTTGAAAATTTCTAATGAAAGGTAAGGTGCCAGGTTTTCTGGCTGACTGAACTAGCACATTACAAATTCGACTCAATGTGACAATCTAGTAAAAACAGGGTTTATTTTCATTTCACATTATCATGTTCTCGACCTGAATATGCTTTTAATTTGCAGCTGGATCTTTAATAACCATCAATCCCAAATCTTGTCAGTGGTTGTCACTGTTTGGTTATTTGTCAGTATTTAGAATATGATGTTTATGCCAGATTGTTTTTGGTGATTACATTCACAGATTGGTGATCATGTTGGTTTAGATTTGAACACAGTAAATATCAGAATTATGGTTTAGGAACTGGTTTATAGCTGAACTTCATAACCTTTGAATGTATTAAACTTTCCTTTGCTGCCATATTTCTGATGTTTAACCAATATCTTTTAAGTTTTATTTTCATGATAGTTAGCATGGTTAGATAATAATATGTTGTAAGTTTTATAAAGTCAAAATTTGAAATATTTGCATTAATTGGCTTTGTTGCCTGGTCCTATTTTTCTTATCTATTTTAAATTTGTTATTCATAATTAATATACACAATATATGATAATTATACCCCTGCTTTAAAAAAGTGGGGGTATACTGTTTTACCTCTGTCTGTCCGTCAGTCCATCCACCCGTCCCATGAATATTTTTCGTCGCATCTTTCTCAGGAACTACATTACAAGGATTTCTGAAATTTGGTTTCAGGGTTTATATGAGTCAGCTTTAATGTGTGATGCATTTTCAGATTCATCACTCAACAACTTCCTGTTTACCGAACACTTGCATCATTTTACACATGACATCCAAGTTGAAAATTTTCATCACATTTTTCTCAGAAACTACATTACAAGGAATTCTGAAATTTGGTTTTAGGGTTTATATGAGTCAGCTACATGTATACCGTGTGATGCATTTTCAGATTCATCACTTAACAACTTCCTGTTTACCGAACACTTACATATTTTTAAACTATTAAAATTATCCAGTTGCGGCAGGGGTATCATCAGTGAGCTACTGCTCACTGATTCACTTGTTATATAATGTAATATCGGTTTAAATGCATAATAGTTGATTATAATATTTATATAAATGAAACCACAATGGAAATGTTTGTATTTGTTATTGAATTGTGTTTCTTTTCTATTAAGGTAATTATGTAGCAACTATTGAATCAACATACAATCGCAGATCAAAGAAAGATGTATTTTACATTAAAGTTTACTTAAATTGGGAGGTGGCGTCTGGCAAAGTTAAACATAGAACAGCCATACGTTTAGCTGGAAAGGACCAAAATGTCACAACATCGGCTGTAGATGAATCCCATATTCAAGTTATAGAAATCCCTTATAAAGATGAAATACAGGACATTAGCATTTGTCAGAAAACTGGTAATTTAATCACTGTTTCCAAGGAGATAACAGACGTTTATCATCTTGTGGAGAAAAAAATTTTGAATTCTGACAGAGTTTATCTTGACATTGTTCTATTTCTTCAGCTTGAATGGCACATTGGACATGTTACAAAAACTGTTCTCTGCGAAGATTATATTGGAGTTCTTTCAAAGAGAGAGACACAAATTGTTAAAGTTGTTTACTCAGATGAAAATTTGGGAAGATTACAAAATGTTGAAGCCGACCGACTATCTTCTTCAGAGAGGGGATTTGGAAGTCAGCACCAAAAATCTTCATCTGTTATGAGTAATGTTTCTTTTCTTTCATCAAAAAGCAGTCTTTCTCTCCCAGATACACCTCAGTTTTCTCGAGTTGGTTGTCGATCTTCTGCCAATGCAAGTCCGTCATTGCTGTTAGATAAATCTGTAGATTCTGTCAGTACCATAAGAGAAGATGACCATTTTGTCAAGATAAATTTAGATGATTTAAAATTGAATCAATCACATTCTTCCAACAAGTCAATCAAAACCTTGCATCTGAAGAAGCTGAAGGAAAACAACTGTGACAAAGTGTTGGAACCAGATGTAACAGATTTCAGAGGTAATGTGAAATTGTAAAAGGTAGAGCAAGATTTTTTCTCTCCAAATTACACCAACTCTTTCATATTGTGATATCATACTTAGTTTTAACATATTTTATTTGCTCAATGTAAAATGGATTAGTCACTAGTAAATATACTTGCGTAGGCAGCGTACTTTTCTCCTCAATGCAATAAATATAACAATACAGCATTGAATTGAACATGCTTTATATACCTGTATAGTATCTACAACATTAATTTACAAGGTTTGCCTAAAATGAAGTAAAATGTGATAGAGAAAAAAACCACAAAGATTGATAATAACAATGTGTGTTTAAATTTACGTATATTTTACATTTACTTTACCACAAGGAATCTTCTTGATATACATGATATATCTTAATACCAGTTAAGTTTGTTAAGACTTGTTTGACAATTGCACATTTTGGTCATAGGAAAGTGTAACCTTTCCCCAAATTAAGAGTGACCCAGGATGTTTAAGAGATTGACATATTGTATTGACACCTGTCTATTGTTGTCTGTATGTTGCCCTCCAGATTTCTTTTGGTTATTTTTCTTGTTGTCTCACTGACATATACATTGCAACTTCAATTTTCAAGCTTAAGGAACACAGCTTAGATTATTCAACTTGGTAGCCTTTTAGAAGGGACAGTAAAAAAAGTATGGAACTAATATTAGACCCACATGGAAATGTTGAATCAGATATAATATTTGTTGTTAATAAGTCATACATTTTGTAGAACTGTTCAAGAAAGACCCCAAAATCTAAATTGATATTTGAATTTGATATTGAAAATTATTTTCCAATTGACAGGTCTAGACTATTTCAATTATGTTTAATTGTTGATGGATTACATGAAGATTTATCATTAGAAATGACCGACAACCTGCAAAATAGTTAAAATAACATCTTGTCCATTTTGCAAGGGAGACTGTGGTGTACTTTGTATGTATATATCTGCTGGTGATCTATAACCGAAACCCAGTTAAAATGTACGATACATTAACAGATTTATAACCAGAATTACATAAATTACTGGACAATACTAAAGATCACTCCTACCCCTGACAATAGACTCTGCCAACAAAATTATGTACAAAGACAACAAAGAAGAACACCAGATAGCTGTGATGCGTTTGGTACAGCTACAAAATGTGGTGGAGTTATACCAGTTTTACTTGGGCAAAAATTAATTTCCCCTGTGAATATTTAGACCATATGTTGCAAAAATTATACACAAAAGTACAAGTACATTTTCTTTAGTTTTGATTCAATGGTTCTGGGCCAACCATTGAAAAATACAACCACTCATAAATAATGATGTGAATTAAAACATTTGTAAAATGTTAATGTGTAGTCCTGATAGTATATTAGTTTTGTTTTGACTTTTTTCTAATTCCAATTCACTTTTGTTTTTAATTATTTCTCTAATTTTCATGTTATTATCACATTTCCTGATCGGTGTGAGAAAATTATTTCTCATCTCTAGAAAAAACTTTGTTCTCAGCAAATGATTGGTCAAAATTCAATTATGACGTCAAATTTTCTTGATTTCTTCTGAAGTTCCTATCGTCATGAAAAAAGGTGACCATGCCTGATGACGACACATATAAAAAATACAACTTTCTGCAAATCTTTGAAAAAGAAGGATAAAATTTGTTTAGATATCGTCTAAAAATCATAGGCAAGACTTACGTTTTAAATTTTTAAATTTAACTGTCTCGAGTGGAGAAATATCGTAACACACTTGATGCAATGGTGGTGGAATCTATATTTATCATTGTCTTATGATGCATTTATGATGTTCATTCTTTAATAAGAAATATTCTTTTAATATAATATTATAGGTGGTGGACATCAGACAGCTGGATCAATACATGTCATCACGGTTCATCACCAGAAAATTAAGAGAGCAGAAGATGAATTCAGACACCTCCAGCTCATACCTTCCTATGTATCAAGTAAAGTTTTTTTGATTATCAGTTCAGTCATAAAAATTTCTCTCACTCAAATTTCCCTTAGACATGTTAGATTTGTATTTATTATGGTTTAGAAATTATCTGAGGTATAGATCAACAACAACTCTCTATTTTGGAATACTTGAGACATCATAAACCTATTGTTGTAAAACTCACTACCAGGGATTTGCAAATAGATTATACAAAGGTTTTCCTACTCTTCGTTGCAAGAAGTACATCTAGCTAAAATTATTAAAATCAGTGTAAAAATTCATGAGTCTCTTTGTTTTGGGGAAAATGCATATTTTGAAGATCTATACCAGTGTTTACTTTATAGTCATTGAAAAATCAAAAGGCATTGAAATTCTTGCTGTGTGACAATTTAACACTGTTTTACTGACTAATTTTTGTTCCATGTTCCAAAGTAATGTATCAACTTGGCAATGTTGTGTATCAGTTTTTAGATCCATCAGTTAATAACATGTTCTCTTCCTGTAAATGCATTTTATATATGACATTGGATGTAGACCATCCATTTATCATTCCAGAATCTCTCAAATTCATATCATACAAATTAGGCATTCCAACTATTTTCTGTAATCACCCAAATTGTAAATAAAACCACTGGAAAAGATGTCTAAGTGTTTCTATTTTTAAGATGTCTTGACCTTTCTTCCTTTGTTTTGTTAGCAGGTTGATGTGGTTCATAAGTGTTTCTTGTTTCTCGTTTTTTACATAGATTAGATCATTGGTTTTCCTGTTTGAATGGATTTACACTAGTTATTTTTGGGGCCCTTTATAGCTTGCTGTTCGGTGTGAGCCAAGGCTTTGTGTTGAAGGCCGTACTTTGACCTATAATGTTTAACTTTTACAAATTGTGACTTGGATGGAGAGTTGTCTCATTGGCACTCATACCACATCTTCTTATATCTATATATAAAGTCATAAAGAAATTTATTTTTGAAAGTGACAATCTAAATGCATTTGGAAGCATGGAGTTGTACTGTGATTCTGTGACATATATATTGTATTGTACCTGTCAAATTCAGCTTTGTTCTATATGGCCCAATCACTGCATAAAAAAGTTTTAATATCAGCATGACAATATCATAAGTTTTGCACTAGCTGATTTGACCACATACGGCTAAAATGATCATTTAATAAAATAGTATAATTTCAATTTCTGCTTTTTACTATCAGTATGGTCTAAGAAGGTTGTTTTATATTACAGATATAAGTAGGCTGTCTACTAGAGTCATGTTGGGATCAGTACCTCTCAGATCAGTGGTGTATAATAGTATTGTTGGAATAAGCTGCTTTATCAGCAGTGACAGCAATGGATATGTACATGATATTTGGTCAACTGTGTCTACTCAACTGTCAACCTACAGCTATTCTGATATTCCTACGCAGGTTGGTAACTACAAGGGCTTTCACTTACAGAAATATGCAAGAGTATTTCTATATTTGTAGACAAGTTCCTCAAAAATGCAACATAAATACACATAGTTGTCTCATTATCATCTTAATTTTATACAGATATTAATAGGTGGCTACATATCAAAGAAAATTGTACAAGAGTTATGTAAACTAAATTGCATTGATTTTATAAGATTAATGAAATTAAACTTTAAATGGAGCTAAATTACTGATTTAAAAAAAAAATGATGAAAACTGCATAATTCCATAATGGATAAAAATAATTTGATCCAGGATTTTCAAAAAGGGGAAGAGGCATACTGAAAAGTAAAAAAAAAAATGTAATAAAAACCATAAAGAGAGTGTGTGATTTGGGCCCCCTTGGGATCCCTTAATCCATCCCTGATATTTTTGTATTAAACAAAGAGTGATTGTGGCATGTCCCTTAAATCTGCAAATACAGATCTAAGCTGTATATAATTATTTTAAATGAAAACATAATTAAATACATTGTATATAATTAATAAAAATGGACAAACCACTTTTTATACGCCCGTTTACGGGACGTATTATGATATACCGTTGTCTGCCTGTCTGTCCGTCCATTGTCAACACTTGACAATAAATCAAAAACGCTTTCATCAATTTTCATGAAACTTTGGTGAATTGTTTATATCTATTGACGTAAGCTCCATTTTGATTTTTATAAATTTTAGATTATACGTTTTGGAGTATTAAAGACTTAATCTTTTACATCCAGCACAGTCTGGGTTTAGACAAGAACACTCTTGCCAAACTGCCCTTATCAATATCATAGATAAATGGGTACAGGATATGAATGACGGTAATATCAACTTAGCAGTCCTGTTGGATTTTAAGAAAGCCTTTGATGTAGTAGATCATGATATTCTCTGAAAAAAACTTGAAATTTATGGATTTGATAATGCTGCTGTTTCTTTTTTCAAATCCTATTTGAATGAAAGAACTCAACAAGTACAAATTGGTAATGCTCATTCTGAAAAACTTTATATCAAGTATGGTGTCCACCTAGGCTCCATATTAGGGCCCCTTCTGTTTATTTTATACTTAAATGACCATCCTATCTATATGAAAAATTGTACTGATTTTTATGCTGATGATTCAACTTTACATCTTTCTGGTAGTTGTTGACAAACTCTACAGTCAAAGGTACAAGAAGATTTGCATGGTGTTGAGGAATGGTGTAATGATAACAATATGTTCATCAATAAAAATAAAACAAAATATATGATTATTGGAACAAAGCAAAAAGCAATGCCACATTACAGTGAAGGTTGTTTAACTATTAACAATCAAGTGATACAATCTTCCACATGCGAAAGTCTCTTAGGCATTAAAATTGACCCTTCGCTCACATGGACAAACCAAATTGATTTGATCTGCTCAAAAATTTCATCTAGGCTATATCTACTTTTAAAGATTAAGAAATTTCTAAATCTAGACTGCAGAAAATTATTCTATAATGGTTATATCTTACCACTAATTGATTATTGTTGTATAGTGTGAAGTAGTTGTAGCAGTGAGGGTTTAAATAGGATATTGAAATTACAAAAGAGAGCTGCTAGAATAATACTGGAAACTTTCGCTCCTTCTGAGCCCTTATTCAAACACTTAAACTGGATGACAGTTGAAAAGAGAATAAGATATCACAAGTTTGTGATGACATTTAAGTGCATCAAAAATGATGCCCCATCATATCTTACTAGCAAGTTTCATTATGTTTCAGTAAGGAATCCATACCCCTTGAGAAATGCTGTTCAAGGAAACCTCATACTCCCTAAACCAAAAATAGAATTGTTCAAGAAATCTTTTATGTATTCTGGACCATTCTTGTGGAACAATTTGCCAATATCATTACGAAATATTACAAATGTTAACTCTTTCAAATACAAAATAACAGATCATTTATTGAAATCAACAAGTTGAAAAAATATTGAATATTAATTATTTTATCATGTGTATTTTTTCATAACATTTTTTGCAGTTGTATTGAACATTATCATTATACTTGACTTTCATTCTAATGTATGCCATGTACTATATGTTTGCATTTTTTGTTTATGCTTTTTCTATGATGAGGGCCTGAGAGGGAAGATTAGTTATACAGCTAACTGTGTAACCCTCATAAAATAAAGTATTGCTGTTGTTGTTGTAGTATTGGGACTTTATTCATAAAAAAAGGGGGGATTTTCCAGTTTTCAGACAATTTATAATTCAAAAATGTGCTTTGGTCCGGGTACACAGTTATTGTCCTTTGATTTTCGTTGTCCACGAATATAGTCCCTAGTGTGGACAGTGTGTTACTTGTCGATTTTTTTTATACCCCTTCCAAATTTATTTCTCCATGTTTTATGACTCAAATAGTAAGTAGGGGGTTGAAATGACACTGTAAAAAAATTTGGGTCATGAATTTTAAGGTAAAGTAGTGATTTGGTCCAGCTGAAAAATGTTAAAAATTAGCACTTCGGAAGCTGTCAAAATATTTGAATACCCCCTTAACATGAAATTGTCCATATTTTGAGTTAGAGCCGATGAAGTTTTCTATAATTTTGATATAATTTGTCCCAAAAGTAGTACAACACACTGTAAAAATATTATTGAGAAAGCGCAGGTGGGATTTTTTTAATTTTCATTTATTCTCTAAAAGAAATGTACTACGAAATAATTGTGTACTCGGACCTAAGAGGTGAAATCAGGAAATATAGAATCTGTACTTTGGCAACTTCCCTGAATGATTTGATGGTGTCAATTTATCAAATAGCATAAAACTAAAGGATTTAAACTTTTATTTGATAGAATTTCTGCAAAAATGACCAATTTTGGCATTTTATGGTCAAAATAAGCATTTCATAGCTTTTTCAATTTTTGATGCATAAGTGGCATTCTGACTTTCTATCTGACAGGTTTTTATGTGTCAATATTTGTGTTTCTATGCTTCAATCCAGTTGTATTACTCATTTGTGAACTCTGAATCTACAGAAAAGAAGATTATCTCGGACAATATGTTCAAAATGTGTTGTATATATGATCCTTGTCTAACGCCCTGTTTGGATCAAGTTAAATGTGAGGAGCTTGGAACATAAAAGTTGAAGTCCATTATAAAGACCTCACTAAATTTGTATAAAAAGCACTTAACAATGTCCATTGTACCTGTTTTATGTCACATAATATCTTTCTTTTCTTCTGTAGGATAGCAAGTGGTTCAAATATAAGCCTGTTGAGACTAAAATTGCATGCATGTTTTTCACTAAAAAGTGAAAAATCTTTGTATCAGACCATACTGTCTGCAAAAAAAGTTGAATGCAAGAGTCTTTTTGTGCTCAGATTTATTGTATCATGTCACCTGAGTATAAAAATGATAGAAAAGACACAAAATTTTATTTCCTATAGCTTCAATATGCATTTTTAAATGTAAATATGTGATACGGCCTAAATTGACCCTAAATTATTTTCAGTCTTACTTGGCCTAAGACCCTTTTAAACTAATGTGATATGTTATTTGTAAGTTTTCTTTCCATTTATAGTACATTAAATACATATGTAAGGATTATTTATAACCAAAAAGCTTTACAAATTTAAAATTGCTGGAAAATATTACATCTTCAAGTAAGGCCCCCCTTCATTGGAAAACCTCCATTTTTAGCCACAGGCTCATATAAATTTGACTTTTTAATAATTATGATAAGTCTGATAAATCAAATGAGTACTCTATTGCTTTTAATATATAATATATTATATATTAAGGCATTTCAAAAGTATTTTTTTGCAATATTTTAATTTTTTAAGCCCCAAATGTTGATAGTTGAAAATTTTCAATTTTAACGTCTAAATTTAACACGCAAAGTTGAATATAGAATTAGTCATATTGTCTATAATATATATCCTATTGCCATGAAACTTTGTAAGCAGTCTTATAATTTAATAAGCTATGGTCATACCAAGTTTCATTAAGATTGGTCAACTTTTTCTACCCTAATAGGTCCGGGTACACAGTTATCGTCCTTTGATTTTCGTTGTCCACGAATATAGTCCCTAGTGTGGACAGTGTGTTACTTGTCGATTTTTTTTATACCCCTTCCAAATTTATTTCTCCATGTTTTATGACTCAAATAGTAAGAAGGGGGTTGAAATGACACTGTAAAAAAATTTGGGTCATGAATTTTAAAGTAAAGTAGTGATTTGGTCCAGCTGAAAAATGTTAAAAATTAGCACTTCGGAAGCTGTCAAAAGATTTGAAGACCCCCTTAACATGAAATTGTCCATATTTTGAGTTAGAGCCGATGAAGTTTTCTATAATTTTGATATAATTTGTCCCAAAAGTAGTACAACACACTGTAAAAATATTATTGAGAAAGCGCAGGTGGGATTTTTTTAATTTTCATTTATTCTCTAAAAGAAATGCACTACGAAATAACTGTGTACTCGGACCTAAGATGAGCAGTTTTCATGAAACTTTGGTGGCTTGTTTATATCTATTGAAATAAGCTCTCTTTTTTTGATACATTTCTGATATGACATTGTGGAGTTATGAAACTTTATTCGTTGAAAAATCGTTGAAAACTGTCCATTTTTCACACTTTGGACATTTATAGAATGTTATTTGTTCAAAAAATGAGGCCACAAACTTAGTTAAACTTGAGGTAGCCTTAATAGTGCCAAATTATTCATGTTTTGTGTTAATGGGTACCGCTGTGTGTGCATGTTGTTTTTTTGTTTTTTTTGGTGAATATGAATTGAGGGCGATTTGGATATATGTTAGACAGGAACCCAAGGAGAAAAAGTACCAAAAAGACATCTAAGAACAATAATAGAAATAAATCTGTTTTTAGTTTAATGCTATTTCTTGAAATCTGGCTGTTAGTTGACCATTCAAATTGTTTCTCTTTTTTCGCTACAGGTGCTTTATATAACTTGCCCAAGGGGACGGGTGTTAATCATCATTGAAGGTTGTACCTGTATTTGTTCACCTCCTTGTACTTTGTTCTATGCTGGATAGTTTGGGATCATATCACATCCCCTTATTTTCTTATTATATATTAATTCCTTTTCTAACCTGGCAGACAACATCTCATATTATAGGTTTATTGAGTAGTGCTATCTATACTTTTTGTATTTTTTCATACTTCAAATGATAAAAATATTAAAAAAGAAATAACAGTGTGGGCGCCTGAAAATTAAGAACCCTCTGGCAGTCAATTATCTGACAAACATATTATAAAACCAAACCATATACTCGTCGGTCCTGATTGCATGAAAAATTTGCCAGTGGGCGTTAAGCAACCAACAATCAACCAAGCCATATTTTCATAAATAGAAAGATAATCAAAATGTTTCATTACTTGTAACATGGTACCTCAATCTTTTCAACCATTATTAAACATTTCAGATAGTGATGAATGAAGACTTGTTGTATGTACTTACTGGCCGTGGATTAGAAATTTACACCAGTCGTTGTGGTACAGCAGCTATTCATCATACAGAAAGATTGAATACAAAAGAAAAGGTATTTTAGATCAAGGAACACAATGACTAGTTAAACAAGAACTACTTATCCATCCCTTTTTATTGGTGGGGCAGGATGTTCAATATTTAGAATTTTGTGTAAAGTTTTTTGAACTTTTTATCTTTCACTATTGTCCATTGTGTTTGTTTTTCAATTTATGATTTTGATTATCAGCTGTATCTTCTTACTTTTTTTAGAACCTAAGCATTTAATTTCTGGATTCTCACTGATGTCTTTCGCATGTATTTACCTCTTCCACTATTGTTTTTTCAGAAATTTTTTTCCATTTATTCTCAATCTAGAATTGTTCATTTCTATACCAGAAAAACCGTATTAAGAATGTCATGTTTCATCATAGCCATATTCCATTCCATTTCAAAATCCTTTTGCACATAAATCAATCAAAGTTTTATGAATGATATCAACATTATATATTTATGAGTAGCAATAAGTGATTTGGGATATTATATGGGACACATATAATCTTGATAATTGATATATATTAAAAAAAAATTGATAATTAGCTCAAAAGTTATTCAACTGTTACTGATCTTTATAAAATCATATATTATAGATCAGCTGAGTATTGCAAAATTGAAGGGAAAGATGTAATGTAATGGATTATTTTTAATCAAAATGCCAAAATACTTGGTAAAAACTATTGAATAACAGTATAAATGATTCAACTTATAACCTGGTCATTGCCCATCCTAATATAACAGTTTCACAGATATAGACTTGAAATTTCCTTGCTTTTTCTGTAAATGCAAATTCATTTTTGACTAAAGAAATGAAGTAAAGGAGATTGTATATATTCATCACATCTTTTAGATTTTCACAATACATGGGTTTGTAAGATTTTAGTATTCAGATATTTGAATTGTGTCACATATTTAACTGTTTTTTTTTGCATTTATTGCAAAACTTCAAAAACATCCCTAAATTATGTTTTTTATATTTTCAATATGGGGCAAGGCTTGTCACCACAAATAATATATGCTCCTCTTATTCATACCAATTTTTCATGCTGTAATCCTTTTATTGTGCAATGTATATCAAAAAGTTATTTAATGACAAGAACATCCTACTAAACTATAATAAAACGATGTCATGCTTTTTTAAAAGGTATTTGATAGCTTGCAACAACAAGGATTATTTCATGCTAATTTGTTATCATATTCTACAGGGCATATTACAATGGTATAGCAGTATATTATTTAACATTTTAGGTTTTTCCATCAGCTGACATGGACACCTGTCTATGTGGTGTCCACTTATTTATGAATACAGTAAAACTGGATGTAAGCGACAAGTATGTTATCATCTTGTCCAAATTGGATGGCGTACAAAGGTAATATTTCAATAAAATATAAACGAGGTTAATGATAAAAATAAGTTAAAATGCTATATTAGAAAGACAATATTTACTTGAAAGCCTACATAGCATTGAAATAGTATGTTAAATGTAAGTTTTTTATCTCATTATTTTTTGTAAAACATTTCAAACAATTTCAAAAGTTTGTTGTCATCAGTTAAGCAATTAAAGTTACACAATGGATAAATGAAGTCCAACACTGGCAGGTGCCTTGTAAACATTTTAACTTTTATTTCAGTTCAACAAATAGAATTTAAAAAAATGGAAAAATTAGATTAAAAAGTTATTTTTCTGACTTTCTTTTCTTGAATTAAGTGGATTTTTTTTAACAGATAAATTGTTTTTTTTATGGAGTCATGTCTGATACAGAATATAAATGTATAGAGTTTAATTTCTCTAGGAGTAGACTCATTATGGCATTCATTCTATATTTTAATGTAATTTTTGTCGAGCCTGCAACGTTTGTTGCAGAAAGCTCGACATAGGGATAGTGATCCGGTGGCGGGGGCGGCAGCGTTAACTAACTTCTTAAAAGCTTTATATTTAAGAAGGTGGAAGACCTGGATGCTTCATACTTTGTATACAGATGCCTTATGTTACGAAGTTTCGGTCTGTCACATGTCCATTGTCCTTGACCTCATTTTCATGGTTCAGTGACTACTTGAAAAAAAAGTTAAGATTTTTTGTAATGTTAATTTCTCTCTTATTATGAGTAATAGGATAACTATATTTGGTATGTGCGTACCTTGCAAGGTCCTCATGCCCGTCAGACAGTTTTCACTTGACCTCGACCTCATTTCATGGATCAGTGAACAAGGTTAAGTTTTGGTGGTCAAGTCCATATCTCAGATACTATTAGCAATAGGTCTAGTATATTTGGTGTATGGAAGGATTGTAAGGTGTACATGTCCAACTGGCAGGTGTCATCTGACCTTGACCTCATTTTCATAGTTCAGTGGTTATAGTTAAGTTTTTGTGTTTTGGTCTGTTTTTCTTATACTGTATGCAATAGGTCTACTATATTTGGTGTATGGAATGATTGTAAGGTGTACATGTCCAACTGGCAGGTGTCATCTGACCTTGACCTCATTTTCATGGTTCAGTTGTCAAAGTTAAGTTTTTGAGGTTTGGTCTTTTTTTCTAATACTATATGCAATAGGTCAACTATATTTGGTGTATGGAAATATTTTATGATGTGCATGTCAGTCTCGAAGGTTTTATTTGACCCTGACCTCATTTTCACGGTTCATTGCTCAGTGTTAAGTTTTTGTGTTTTGGTCTGTTTTTCTTAAACTATAAGCAATAGGTCATCTATATTTGTTGTATGGAAGGATTGTAAGCTGTACATGTCTGCCTAGCATGGTTCATCTGACCTTGACCTCATTTTCATGGTTCATTGGTCAATGTTTAGTTTTCTTGGTTAAGTCTGTTTCTTAGAAACTATAAGCAATAGGTCAACTACCAGGTATATTTAGTGTATTGAATGATTGTAAGGTGTACATGTATTTCTCGTTTGGTTTATATGACCTTGACCTCATTTTCTTGGATCATGTTAAGTTTATGTGATAGTTGTAGTAAAGCTTTATATTTAGGACTATCAACATAATATCAATGGTTAGAAAAAAGGCGAGACATTTCAGTGTGTGCACTCTTGTTTTACCTAAGGTACCAAAGTTTTGTGCTTGGTTTTTAGGTCAGATGAAGGTTCCTGCAGTCTATATGCTGTAGAAAAATGTTCCCCTGGAGAACTATATAAAGATATGGTAAGTACATGGACATTTGTGGTTGTAATTCACGGATGGTGACATTCTTACAGGAAGTTCTTTACCACATCAAGCTAATCAGTATACTGTGTGCAGAAAGAATATATTATTTTTTGACAGCAAGGATTTACAAGGGATACACATATAGTCATCCCTGGACTTCCTCTTACCAGTAGTAAAAAAATCATAAGATGGGGGTCCATTTGGCAGTGCAGGATGTGTAAATATGCAGTCATATTCCTGAAGAATGGGAAAATTAAATCTGCTGTCTTGTGTAGACTAATTTGCTCTTTGCATGTAATAAAACCCTTGTAACAACTCTTTGAGGGCCTGTAGGTGACCTATTGCAAGGTGAAATTTCTGCTTCTATTCAACGTACCTGTATTACCCAGAAGCAGTCAGTCACCCTTCATTCAAGTCATCCCTTTGCAAAACCTTCCTATTTCATTTATTTTTAATTTGTTCTCGTACTAAATGTGTATGAAATATTTAACACTGAATGATAAGCAAACAACAATCAATCTATCTTTTTTTACCACAAGTCTGGAGTCATCTGGAGGTCTCTAATATCACTTTTTATCTGAAACAGAGTTATCTCCTATATTACAGATTCAAAAAAATTAAACAAATGGACTTTGTGGAGTACCTGCCAATGAATTTTTAATAGGTAAAAAGACTTTGTGCTATGAAAAGGGCCTAAAAGAGTACTGTATGATGCAATGATACTTTGCTTTAGATAAAATTGATAAAATTCTCTTATTAACCTGTATATTATAACTGGTTTTGTGGTATTTGACAGTTTAATTTTTTTGTATAATTTAATAATTGAACTGTTTTCATGCATTTACTTTATGATAAGATATGCTACTTAAAAAATGAAAAGTGTTTGACATTGAATTAAAGATGATTTAAGCTTTAATCATACACATTGTATGTTATGGTTAATGATAAGAAAAATCTTCCTGATATGACAACAAGTTTGCCTAAAATTGAAGGATATAAATAAGAAGATGTGGTATGAATGCCAATGAGACAACTCTCCATCCATGTCACAATGTATAAAAAGTTAACAATTATAGGTTAAAGTACGGCCTTCAACACGGAATCTTGGCTCACACCAATAATATTTTCCTCCAAAACTATTCTAGAGGTACCTAAGATGCTATTAATAGTCATAAATCTTGGTGATAGACTCTGAAAAGTTAATGAATTGTTTCAAAATCCGTATCTTGATTAGATATAACTGTGAAGACAAAAAACATAACAATTAGTTGTTCTTAATAAAATATGTATCAAGATATTAATCAAAATATGTTTAAATATCAATTATCAACAACTGCTCTTGTTAATTTCATATATTTGTTCAAATGTTTATATATCTTATCTTTTTTTTCAACTTGGAAATGAACAGATCACGTATCTGTTGAGAAGACGATTTTGATATTGAAAACTCTGTTATATCGGTTCTTGAACTATTAATCATAAATAAACTTTAAATATATAATATTTGAAATCAAAGAAGTGAGCGTAACGCTTAAAACTTGAATGAAAAAATAGAATATAAGATGTAACGTATCTGTTCAAGGCATGCAACAAATACGTTACCATAGGAAACAAATACGTTACTTAATGTTTGCACCCTGAATTTCAATACTTTAACATTATTTTTATCCTGTAGGTACAAAATTCAAATGTCTAATTCTTATCTATGTATTAAGGCAGATAGCTCATATGTCTGAATTCCGAAATGATATCGATATTTCAGCGTTAATCGAAACATAGTAACATATCTGTTGGTACCGTATCTGTTTAAAAAATTATTCTTGGTCCATTATTTCAAATACGTTTCTAATAACAGGACATTTTTCACTGTTGAAAAGGAAGATCAAATATGTAAAAACATATTTATGCAGTTAAATAGATCCTGTGCAAGTGGTTAATTTTTATGCAAATGATTCCATAGTAACGTATCTGTTCAAAATTAACATACAAAATCCATTTCCCAGTTAAGTAGCTTATAAATTGTTATAAATACACATCAAATAATTTTGCTTTGGTTACAACTATGGACTAACACTTCAAAAGCAACATAGTTATTCTTTCAATTGACCTTTAGATAAATGAAGAGTCTAATTAAAAGTTGTTAACGTATCTGGTCAAAGAAATAGTGACATATAATCTCAAAACTGTGTTGGTTTTTTTTTTATGACAAACTACTTAAAATGATATAAATATGGACTGGCAGAATGGTGATAGATCGAAAAAGGCAACAAAAGTACATGTTTTGCAAGCTTCTTAAGTCGAATACTCAACAGAAAAAATATCTATACCACCAGGGACATTCGTTTTACTCAAAATAATACGTTTTTGTGTGAGGCTGGAGTAGTTTTGATATTCTTCTACTTGGCAATTATGTTAGTTTTAGCTAGATATCTCCTTGGATTTTCAAAAACATATTTTTTTTGACATTTTAAACCAGACAAGGCTTAAAATATCTACAGGGACAACAAATCAAGTATTGGACCTGATTTCCCAAGAATGAGTGATAAATACAATATTAAAAAGTAGCTGCCTATATAACATAGATGTTACAGGTATATATAGATTCTACCACTGTATCAAGTGTGATGCCATATTTATCCACTCTCGACAGTTAAATTTTCAAATTTAAAACGCGAGGCTTGCTGAGCGTTTTGAATATTTAAAACTCAACTGTCGAGAGTGGATAAATATCGTATTGCACAAGATTTGGTGGAATCTGATTCTCTAATGATTTTTAAACGATATGCAGACAAATTCAATCCTTCTTTTTGAACGATCTGCAAAAAGATGTATTCTTTCTATGTGACGTTATCAGGCATGGTCGCCTTTTTTCATGACGTCACGATAGGAAAATCAGAGGAAAGCAAGACATTTTTATCTCATAATAGAATTTTGACCAATGAAGAACTGAGATCAAACGAACAACACGTTGATTAAATAAAAATAATCAACGGGTCAGGAAATGGATAAATCGTGTAAGAATTAGAGAGAAAAAACTTTTGTATGATTCAAAACCTAATTGATACCAAGAAAAAAAAAATGAGAAAAATTTGCACAAAAAATGCTGAAGAGCACCGCAGAAGTATATGTAAAAGTTCTTAATGGAAAACTATCACCTTATAGAAAACTTGGAAGAAATTTGAGTTGGTACTGTTCTGTTTTTTGGCATATCCTGTATTAACATGATAACTGTAGAAATTGTAAAATTAAAGACAACATACACCACATTTATTATTTCTATATTGAAAGTTCATTATCAGAATAAAGAACTGTGTTCCTACATTATTTATGGTAAGATAAAAGGAGTTCAAGTTGCATATGATTAATAACCAGATTTCAAAAAAAAAATCATTTCTCATATGGCTCTTTTTAATGTCTATCAAATATGAATTACAGACAGTAGAAACTCTCTTAATCATTTGGTGAAATGTCTGTGCCCAATTTAAAGCTAGATTTGTTTATCTTTAATAGTCAGATTACATTCTTATAAACTATCTAATGGTATTTTTAGACCAAATGTGCAAGCAAAAGCAATGAAATTTAATACTGATCGCAATGCCTTTTACACAGGTTAAATATGGAGAAAGGTCAAGAAAACATAATGAAGGAACATATTTGAATCTTCTGCTAGAGGGTCACATGACCTTAAGAAACACTTTTATTGGTGGAGACATAAATGACAGAGAAATAGAGGATTTGTTCAGAGAATCCTGTCTTTTGATTGGTGAATACTATGCTAAGTAGGTATAGAGAATGTCTCATTTGTATTTATTTATACATTATAAATCTATGTAGAAGGTCCAGTAACAACAACACTTTAAGGAATGCTCCAGCAATTTATTGAGATCGACATGTTTCGGTGGCTAGGCCACCGTCATCAGGATAGAAAACAATACATAAAATCATGCTGAGGTACAAAATCGGGTTGAGCATTCCTTAAAGTGTTGTTGTTACTGGACCTTCTACATTTTATGTTTTTATCGTAACGACCCTGCATACCCGAGGTATCCACTTTATGGAATCTACTGACAGAAGATTTACCAGGCGTTGGTTCACTTGTGTTTTAATTATAAATCTATATTTGTGATTTTCAAATTGGACTCATCTGAAAACATTATAAATAGATATTGTTCATTTAGTTTTTTCTTTCAGTATTTGATATCACGTAAAAGACTATACTACAACCTGTCTCAACCAAACAACAGACCTACCAACTATCCTGATTTATTGGGGATATCCCCCATGAGAGGTGTTGACCTGAATTTTAAAATTTTTTATTTTATAAACTGAACACTTCAAAACAGGCATTCAAATGAGTTAAAAGGGTATTTAAGCAGATACATACTCATTCAAACAGTATAGAAGTAGATTAAAAACGCTTATGACAATATAAGAGGAGCATTAGGTCCTCTTGCGCTTAAAATCCCTCATGGAGAGTTTGAAAAGTTGGCAGGTATGAAACAAGGATAAATTGGAAACCTGTCAAAATTGACTTACAAGGATTTTATTCGGTTTTCAACTGTTGTAAAAAATATAAGAAGGGATGAAGAAACAAAAACTATAAGTTGAAGGAAGCCATATAACACAATGGCCAAAAGAAAAAAGATGAAAAGACAAACATCATTCTACAAAATGCTACACAGAAAACTAAAGATTTAGCACTAGGAACACCATAAAAAGATCAGGGAGGGATTGGAAGTGTCTAATATCAGCAAAATCCTTAAAATGGGGTGAAGTTTGGACCAATTTAACTGTATACAAGGAAAATTTTGAAAGCAACATACCTGCAAATATGCTGTAACTGAGAACTGCCGGAAAAATAAGTTAATGCATAATTCAAAATGTTGACATTATATTGTTTAGAGAGAAAGGTACAGATGGACAATTGTGTATTCCTTATCTTACCATGTCTGGACTGAGTGTAGCTGACATCATAAGACAACTGGTGGAAAGTCATGAAAAGGTAATTATATCTAGCTCTGTCTGGACTGAGTGTAGCTGACATCATAAGACGATTGGTAGCAAGTCATGAGAAGGTAATTATATCTAGCTCTGTCTGCACTGAGTGTAGCTGACATCATAAGACGGCTGGTTGCAAGTCATGAGAAGTTAATTATATCTAGTTCTGTCTGGACTGAGTGTAGCTGACTTCATAAGACGACTGGTTGCAAGTCATGAGAAGGTAATTATATCTAACTCTGTCTGCACTGAGTGTAGCTGACATCATAAAAGGACTGGTAGCAAGTCATGAGAAGGTAATTATATCTAGCTCTGTCTGGACTGAGTGTAGCTGACATCATAAGACGACTGGTTGCAAGTCATGAGAAGGTAATTATATCTAGCTCTGTCTGGACTGAGTGTAGCTGACATCATGAGACGACTGGTAGCAAGTCAGGAGAAGATAATTATATCTAGCTCTGTCTGGACTGAGTGTAGCTGACATCATAAGACGACTGGTTGCAAGTCATGAGAAGGTAATTATATCTAGCTCTGTCTGGACTGAGTGTAGCTGACATCATAAGACGACTGGTAGCAAGTCATGAGAAGGTAATTATATCTAGCTCTGTCTGGACTGAGTGTAGCTGACATCATAAGACGACTGGTTGCAAGTCATGAGAAGGTAATTATATCTAGCTCTGTCTGGACTGAGTGTAGCTGACATCATAAGAGGACTGGTAGCAAGTCATGAGAAGGTAATTATATCTAGCTCTTTCTGCACTGAGTGTAGCTGACATAAGACAACTGGTGGCAAGTGTATATGATTGATTAATATTTTGTCTATGATTTCCCCCAAAATCTTTTATCAATGATGCAAGACTGTTACTTTAAATCATTAGTAAATACAGATTATACTGAATAACCCCTTTAATTTTATTTTGCCTAATGAAACGGGTTTGTGATGCATACCGGTATATAAATATGTTTATCAGATGAACAATTTTTTTTATTGTTCTTCTTCATTCTTGATGGTTTAAAAAAGTTTCTATACTATTTATTTTTTTTATAGATGGGATACCAGGACTATGGACAAGGATTTATTGCTTATTTTAAGCATGTTCTTCTGCAGGATGGAGAACCCTTTGAGTTAATAGAGGTATTTTGAAGGTCATGATATTTTTTTACTTGAATGAGACGACAACCAATCAAAACAAGCTTACCAAAATCAAGTAAATTCATCATGTAGTCACCAGCTGATTAGCAAGCTCTAAAATGTATTGTGTTATGACAAGCTGTGAATGAATTCAACAAAAGCTACCAAAGATCTGTACAACATTATATTTGCCCCAGTCATTGTTGTTATTTAATAGGTAAATATTTTCTACAAAAATAATATGAATTAACAGATTGAGTTAGCAGACACCAAAAAAAAAAAACCAAAGACATACAGAAATCAATTTATTTTTTCCCTAGTTTTATCAATTATAGAATTATAGATTATTGGCAGTCTTTTAAACAAGGGAGTGTTTCTAAGTTACAATATCATGAAAGGGCAACAGTTGAGATGAGATATAGCTGAGAAACATTCTTGAGTTTGAAAGACCTTTGATAATCTGTTTATTGCTGTTTTCATAGGCAACATCAGTGATGTACCCTCATGACGTCTTGCATTCTCTTTCTACTTGACTAAGAAAAACCCATATCATTGAGTAGCATGATATAGAAAATTATCACAAAAAAGGTCAAAGCAAAATTTGAGAAAATAGCAATAATCATCGTTTCCAAATGTAAAGCCCTAAATTACCTCAAATCAAAGGGACCAAATTACCTAAAGTCAGAGGGACTGAATTACCTCAAGTCCAAGGGACTAGATTATCTCAAGTCAGAGGGACTACATAACCTCAAGTCTTAGGGACTAAATTACCATTAGTCAGACAAACTAAATTACCTCAAGTCAAAGGGACCAAATTACCTAAAGTCAGAGGGACTGAAGTACCTCAAGTCAGAGGGACTAAATTACCTCAAGTAAAAGGGACTAGATTACTTCAAGCCAGAGGGACTAAATGACCTCAAGTCATAGGGACTAAATTACCATGAGTCAGAAGGACTAAATTACCATAAGTCAGACAGACTAAATTATATCAAGTCAAAGGGACCAAATTACCTAAAGTCAGAGGGACTGAATTACCTCAAGTCATAGGGACTAAATTACCTCAAGTCATAGGGACTAAATTACTATAAGTCAGATATGGACTAAACTACCTCAAGTCCAAGGGACAAAATTACTTAAAGTCAGAAGGACTAAATTACCTCAAGTCAGAGGGACTAAATAACCTCAAGTCATAGGGACTAAATTACTTCAAAGTCAAAAGGACTAAATTACCTCAAGTAAAAGGGACTAAAATACCTCAAGTCATAGAGACTAAATTACCATAAGTCAGAGGAACTAAATTACCTCAAGTCAGAGGAACTAAATTACCATAAGTCAGACAGACTAAATTACCTCAAATCAGAGGGAATGTTTATGAATTTTTCAGAGACAAACAAAGATCTGCCTTTAATGTTAAAGTTTTAAATGTGCAAAGAATATAAAAAATTTCCTACAAGTAGAATGTTTAAATGCAGTAAACCTGGTTTTATGCTCTGTGCATGTGAAAGGGTTAGACTATTTAAGTCAATAACTCATAGTTTTAGTGAAGATTATTTATTGTTTTAATTTATTTTCCCTGAAAGTTTGCCACTTTATATCCACATTGATTTTTGTCTCGCCTTGACGGAGTCAAAAAGCGAGACATAGGTATGCTGTTTCTGGGGTTGTCGTCAGCATCAACAATGTATTAGTTTGTGATTAGGTCTAGTTTATGGTGAACCATTAGTGGTAGGTCAATGATGATTGGTATGCAGTTGTATTAGCATTGGCACATCTCTTTTCCATGGAGATTATTTGGCCCTGCCCCCTCAGTCATGGTCTATTGACTTTGAAACTTTTGCTTAGTTTACATGTATTAGTTTGTGATTAGGTCAGTTTATGGGGAACCACTAGTGGTAGCTATAGGTCAATGATATTTTGTAATGCAGTTGTATAAGCATTGGCATATCTCATTTCCATGGAGATTATTATACCCCCACTTTAAAAAAGGGGGGAATACTGTTTTACCTCTGTCTGTCCTTCCGTCAGTCCGTCAGTCCATCCGTCCGGCCCATGAATATTTTCGTCGCATTTTTCTCGAACTTCCTGTTTACCGAACACTTGTATTATTTTACACATGATAGCCAAGTTGAAAATGTTAGTCGCATTTTTCTCAGGAACTACTTGACAAGGATTTCTGAAATTTGGTTTCAGGGTTTAAATAAGTAAGTTACACCGTGTGATGTGTTTTCAGATTCATCACTCAACAACTTCCTGTTTACCAAACACTTGTATAATTTTACACATGATAGCCAAGTTGAAAATTTTCATCACATTTTTCTCAGGAACTACTTGACAAGGATTTCTGAAATTTAGTTTCAGGGTTTATATAAGTAAGTTACACCATGTGATGCGTTTTCAGATTCATCACTTAACAACTTCCTGTTTACCGAACACTTGTATTATTTTACACATGATAGCCAAGTTGAAAATTTTCATCACATTTTTCTCAGGAACTACTTGACAAGGATTTCTGAAATTTGGTTTCAGGGTTTATATAAGTCAGCTTTACCGTGTGATGCGTTTTCAGATTCATCACTCAACAACTTCCTGTTTACCGAAATATTACGGCGGGGGTATCATCAGTGAGCAGTAGCTCAGAGTTTTACTTGTTTGGCACCGCCCCCTCAGTAATGGTCTATTGACTTTGAAGCTTTTGCTTAGTTTACATGTATTTGTGTTTATGTCGGTTCAAGGGGAACCATTAGTGGTAGGCCAATGTTAATTGGTATGCAGTTGTATAAGCATTAGCACATCTCATTTCCATGCAGAATATGTGACCCTGCCCCCTCAGTCATGGTCTATTGACTTTGAAACTTTTGCTTAATTTACATGTATTAGTTTATGATTAGATCAGTTTAAGATGAACCGCTAATGTTAAGTCAATGATATTTGGTATGCAAATTTATTGACATTTGCAAGTCTTGTTTCCATGGAGATTATATAGCCCCACCCCCTCATCATGGTTCATTGGCTTTGAAACTTTTACATAGTTTACAAGTTAATGTTTGTGTTTAGGTTTGTTGAAAGGGAACGGCTTATGATAATTCAATGGTATTTGGTATGCAATTGTATTAGCATTGGCACATCTTATTTCCATGGAGATTGTTTAGCCATGTAGCTTCAGTCATGATTCGTTGATTTTGAATATTTGCATAACTTACATGTTAAAGTATTGCTGTTTTAATTTCAACATTTGCATTATCAAAATTACAAAAAGGCGAGACATATCACTGTGTTAACAGTTTATTTAATATACCTTTGTAACTTCTAACTTAGACAATCCTTATTATTAACTCAAATTTTGTTTTTTATAGGCAGAAGGCGATATGATTCTGTCTATTTGCAGTAAAGCTATCCCTGATCTGCTATCAGATATCATTTTGTTTTCCAGAGTCAAGGAATTTAATTCAGGTAAATAGGATTGTGTAATTTTTTCACCTGCATTACAAAGTGGTCCAGATTTCTTCGTTAACGCCAGCATCGACAATTAGGTAAAGTCTGAAATTATTTTTTTTTAAATATCAATTTCTTTGTCAAAGCTTGATGAAAATTTTATGGAACTTAGATAGAAGCTTTTTCATGATCAAGAGATATTTAAAAAAAATTACACTAATAACTTCTAAATGATAAGATGCTTATTCATGATCAAGAATTAGCATCTGAAGAAAAAATAGAGTTTTACAGATGAATGGACTAATTTTTTGGGGAGTTTACATTAAGATGCACATTTAAAACCTTTTTCAAACTATCATGGAATGTCATGAACCTTTAACTGAAGCTTCTTCATAATCAAGAGATGCAATCCAGAGTAAACATTTTATTTTTTTTTGGTTTTTGTTTTTCCATATTTTATATTTTAATACACTAATTTTTGTTCTGCAGAACCCTATGTGCTTTATGAATTTTTGTGTTTTGGGTCACTTTCTCATTGGTTCCATTCATTCTCTTTGTTTACAGTATTGAAATTTTGAAATTTGGATTTATAACATGTGAACAGTAAGAGAACAATAAAAACAACACTTTTAAGACATCTTCATTCTATTATTTGTCCTTTAAGATCTATTAGATAGGACAGAAATCAGATGAATGTTAAAAAGGAATTGTAAAAAAGTTACACTAAACTTAATGATTTTTCTTTAAATGCAATTTTAAAAAAAAGTCACATTGTGTTGAAGATATATTGTTTTTGAAGGTAGCTTGTGTAAAACATTGTAACTACAATGACCCCATAAATATAAAGCTATACAACTATTTTGATTAAAAAAAAGATATATTGTCATGTTGTAACACTAAATTCTTTAATCAGATACTAGGTGGGTTCCTAACGACCTTGACTACCCATGAGGGTCTCCTTCAGTCGGTTAATCAGATATTAAATTTATTTCAGAACATGCCCTTACCTTGTTACAAACATGGATCAAAGAACTTGCAAGTCATGGTGAAAAGTCAAGGTTAGATATAGTTTTTAGCTCACTTGGCCCTCTGCGTTTGGCATCACTTGACGTCCTTCATCATCGTCGTTAACTTTTACAAAAATCTTCTCCTCTGAAACGACTGGGTCAAATTTAACCAAACTTGGCCACAATCATTATTGGGGTATCTAGTTTAAAAAATGTGTCCGATGACCCGGTCTGCCAACAAAGATGGCCGACATGACTAAAAATAGAAGATAGGGGTAAAATGCAGTTTTTATACGACCGCAAAAAAATTTTTGTGGTCGTATATTGGTATGACGTTGGCGTCGTCGTCGTCGTCGTTGTCGTCGTCGTCTGGCGTCGTCCGGCGTTGTCCGAAGACACATTGGTTTTCGCACTCTAACTTTAGTTTAAGTGAATGGATCTCTATGAAATTTTACCACAAGGTTCAATACCACAAAAGGAAGGTTGGGATTGATTTTGGGGGTTATGGTACCAACAGTAAAGGAATTAGGGGCCAAAAAGGGGCCAAAAATAAGCATTTTTGTAACTTCCAGACATAACTTGTGTGTTAGTGTATGGATCTCTCTGACATTGTACCACAAGGTTCCATATCACAAAAGGAATGCTGGGATTGATTTTGGGGGTAATTGCCTCAAAATTTTAGGAATTAGGGGCCTAAAAAGGGGCAAAAAACCAGCATTTTTCTAGTTTCATGACAATAACTTGTGTTAGTGTATGGATCTTTCTGAAATTGTACTACAAGGTTCCATATTACAAAGGGAAAGCTGGGTTTGAGTTTCGGGGTAATTGCAGAAACGTTTAGGAATTGGGGGCCAAAAAGGGGCCAAAAATAAGCATTTTTCTAGTTTCCAGACAATAACTTGTGTTCAAGTGTATGAATCTCTCTGAAATTGTACTGCAAGGTACCATACCACAAAGGGAAGGCTGGGATTGATGATGGGGGTAATTGCCTCAATATTTTAGGAATTAGGGGCCAAAAAGGGGCAAAAAACAAGCATTTTTCTAGTTTCAGGACTATAACTTGTGTGTAAGTGTATGGATCTTTCTGAAATTGTACTACAAGTTCCATATCACAAAGGGAAAGCTGGGTTTGAGTTTGGGGGTAATTGCCTTAAACGTTTAGGAATTTGGGGCCAAAAAGGGGCCAAAAAACACATTTTTCTAGTTTCCAGACAATAACTTGTGTTCAAGTGTATGGATCTCTCTGAAATTGTACTGCAAGGTACCATACCACAAAGGGAAGGCTGGGATTGAGTTTGGGGGTGATGAATCATAAGGGGGTTCAAAAAATTTGGGGGGGGGGATTTTTTTTTTTTTTTCCTTTTTTTTCTTTTTTTCCTTTTTCTTTTCTTTTAAAATTTTCCATTTTAAGTCGGTTATTTCTGATTTATTTTTAAAAGCAAATAATAATGATATGGTAGGAGATACACACCAAACAGGATATGTAAATTATTATATAATAAGTATTGTGCAATAGCAAGAAATTTTCAATTGCACAGTATTGCACAATAGCAAGAAATCTTTAATTGCACAGTATTGCGCAATAGCAAGAAATCTTCAATTGCACAGTATTGCGCAATAGCAAGAAATATCCAATAGCACAATATTGCGCAATAGCAAGAAATTGTCAATTGTACAGTATTGCGCAATAGCAAGAAATATTTAATTGCACAGTATTGTGCAAAAGAAGATACTTCGTATAAATTGCTTATTTCTTGACCAATTTCAATGGCGTTTTATTCTTGAATTCTTGGGGTTCTTTAATATGCTGAATCTAACCGTGTATTTAGTTTTTGGATTTTGGGCCCCATTTTTAAATTGGTCCACATTGAGGTCCAAAGGGTCCAAAATTAAACTTTGTTTGATTTCATCAAAAATTGAATTATTGGGGTTCTTTGATATGCCGAATCTAACCGTGTATTTTGATTCTTAATTTTTGGTTCCATTTTCAAATTGGTCTACATTAAGGTCCAAAGGGTCCAAAATTAAACTTAGTTTGATTTTAACAAAAATTGAATTCTTAGGGTTCTTTGATATGCTGAATCTAAACATGTATTTAGATTTTTGATTATGGGCCCAGTTTTCAAGTTGGTCCAAATCGGGGTCCAAAATTAAACTTTGTTTGATTTCAACAAAAATTGAATATATAGGGTTCTTTGATATGCTGAATCTAACCATGTATTTAGATTTTTGATTTTTGGGCCCTGTTATCAACTTTGTCCACATTGAGGTCAAAAGGGTCCAAAATTAAACTTTGTTTGATTTCATCAAAAATTGAATTCTTGGGGTTCTTTGATATGCTGAATCTAACCATGTATTTAGATTTTGGATATTGGACCATAATAGGTGAATGTCCAATTTAAAATTTTTAAGTTCTTAGACCACATTCATTCTGTGTCAGAAACCTATGCTGTGTCAAATATTTAATCACAATCCAAATGCAAAGCTGTATCAGGCTTGAATGTTGTGTCCATACTTGCCCCAACTGTTCAGGGTTCGACCTCTGCGGTCGTATCAAGCTGCGCCCTGCGGAGCATTTTATTGGCTTATATCTTTGAAACTAAAGCATTAAGAGCAAATCTTACAAGGGTAAAAAGGTTTATCAGGTTGAGATCTGTCTGCTCTGATTTTTCTAGACGAATCAGACAACATGTTGTTGGGTTGCTGCCCCTGAATTGGTAATTTTAAGGAAATTTGCAGTTTTTGGTTATTATCTTGAATACTATTATAGATAGAAATAAACTGAAAACAGCAATAATGTTCAGCAAAGTAAGATCTACAAATGAGTCAACATGACCAAAATTTTCAATTGACCCCTTAAGGAGTTATTACCCTTTATAGTCAATTTTTAACAATTTTTCGTAAATTTTTGTAATCTTTTACAAAAATCTTTTCCTCTGAAACTACGGAGACAAATTTAACCAACTTGGCCATAATCATCATTAGGGTATTTACTTTAAAAAATTTGTACGATGACCCCGCCTGCCAACCAACATGGCCGACATGGCTAAAAATAGAAAATAGGGGTTAATTGCAGTTTTTGGCTTATATTTCTGAAACTAAAGCATTTAAAGCAAATCTGACGGGCTAAAAATGTTCATCAGGTTTGAATCTATCTGCCCTGAAATTTTCAGACGAATCAGACAACCTGTTGTTGGGTTGCTGCCCCTGAATTGGTAATTTTAAGGAAATTTTGCAGTTTTTGGTTATCTTAAATATTGTTATAGATAGAGATAAACTGTAAACATCAATAATGTTCAGCAAAGTACGATATACAAATAAGTCAATATGATCAAAATAGTCAATTAACCCCTTAAGGAGTTATTGCCCTTTAAAGTCAATTTTTTCACTATTTTTTCTTAAATTTTTTACAAAAATCATCTCCTCTTAATCTACTTGGCCAAATAGAGTTAAACTTACCCACAATTATTATTAGAGTATCTTTGATTGAAAAATGTATCTGATGGCCCTGCCCTATAACCAACATGGTCCCCATGGGTAAAAATAGAACATAGGGGTTTTATAATACTATAGAAGTCTATGGGGAAAATGTTAAAAAACAATTTCAAATGGTCACAACTTGAAAACTAATTTAAATAATGACAAGGGGTCTTCAGTAACTATTGTAAGACTACAATGGGATGACTTGATTTTTTTCCAAGGGGTGCAATTTTTTCAGGGGAGGGGGGTGCTAATAATTTCTCCTTGATATGTTCCATTTTCAGAATTATTCTGTGTTACTTTTTCTATAAACCATTATTATATCTTTTCTTTCAGCATACTTATATTGGGTGAATGCCCCTCAGACCCGGCGGGTTAGTCGGGGTCAGGGGAACCCCTGCCCAAATTTATTTTGAATTGTGTTCCATAAAAACATTTAAAGGCATTTTCAGCATTATACAGGCCCTAGGTGAAATAAATTTTGGAGTGGAGGAAAGTAAATTTTTTATTTTTTGTTAATTATCTTTGAATATCATTATAGATTGAGATAAACTGTAAACAGCAAAAATATCAAGCAAAGAAAGATCTACAAATAAGTCAGCATGACCAAAATTGGCAATTGACATCTTATTGGAGTTATTGTCCTTTAAAGTTATTTTCTGCAATTTATTGGTAATTTTTGTAAATTTTTTCAAATTTCTTCTGCTTTTAATTTAACTTTTGGGCCAAATTAAACCAAACTTGGCCTCAATCATTATTAGGGTATCTATATGATTTTAACCTTATTTTACATGATTTCCAAAACAACAGTAGATACAGGTGAGCGACACAGGCTCTTGAGAGCCTCTAGTTTTTATACTTTTCAATAAAACAAAAGAGTATAATTGATTTAGGGTAAAAAACTCAAAGGTCAAGGTCACAACAGCTATCGATAGACTGAAATTTGGGCAAAATTTTTGTTTCTGTATCTTTTGAACCATACATGCATGTCCCAATCTAAACTGAAGTTGGTTTGATAATGACCCATGAAGTAAGGAGAACCCCTTTTGATTTAGGGTCAGTAGATTTTCAAGATAAAAAAAGTAGATATGGTATGATTGCCATTGAGACAACTTTCTTCCACAGACCAAATGATGTGGATGTTAGTTAATAATCCTAACTGATATCATATAGTATTAAAGCTATAAAAGGACGTAGCATCACAAGTTGCGAAACAATTCAAACAAGAAAACCAATTGCCTGATTTACGTAAAGGAACTACAAATATGACAGACAGCATCAAACGAAACCACCTAATTACAAAAATCTTGACATGGGACAGACACATAAAGAATATGAAAGGGTTTAACATGTTTGCAAGTGTTCAAACCTCCCTCAACCTGGGACAGTGCTGCAACACCACAACAAACTGTAAAAATCAGTTTGAGAAGGCTTGACTCATCAATTGAGTACAAAAAACAAATACCAAATACACCATGTACTGATTCAATAAAACTTGCAGCTACTTAAAGCTTGTTCAAAGCCAATTACAACTAAGAAATAAATCATAGTTATACAGTCTTTCTTCTACTTCAAGTCTATATACTCACAGTAGATTTATATTGTATCCCAAATGAATACAAAGATATCAGTTTGTTGAGTTGTAATATTATATTTTTTTTCTTGAAATAAAGACAACCATACTGAATTATAAACAAGAATAAAAAAGAAATGTTGTCAAAAGGTAAAAATTCAAGTCACATATTTCAAGAACCTAAGTTTTCTTCAAAAAAGAATGATTTAACCTGTAATTTGGAAACTGTTAGAGTACAATGTTTACAGTATTCCTGTCTGCCATATCAAATGTTAATCTAGTTTCTTACCTGCTATTTAATTCATTTTAAGGATGGTGCTTGTTAAAATTGATTAAGAAGGGCATTTTTTTTTGCTGCATAAAGTTTGGAATTTAACTGCAGTTTGATAACAGCCTCTTAATTCTCAATAAAATACTTAGAAAAATCATGTATGATACACTAAAACTTTACTGATTTATTATTCAAATTGTTATTCATCAGATGTGTACTTCACTTAACTTGCCTTTCACAGTGCTTCCTAATATCTGGTATTTATAATTTTTCAGTATAGCAGACAAGTTAGCATTGACCAATCTATATCTGGTTTTATGTGATCCAGAAGTAGCAGAAAGGACCTTGCTTTTGATACCAAAGGTAACAACTTATATATAACAGATTATACTTACAATGTTAGTATACAAATATAGAGATGTAGTTGAATTTCCAATGAGATAACTATCCACTTATAAATAAGGAGATGTGGCATGATTTCCAATGAGACAACTATCCACTATATAAATAAGGAGATGTGGCATGATTTCCAATGAGACAACTATCCACTATATAAATAAGGAGATGTGGCATGATTTCCAATGAGACAACTATCCACTATATAAATAAGGTAACACAGTATGATTTCTAATGACATAAATGAGACAATTATCCAACAAAGACAAAAGGATGTAAACAAGTACCATATCACAATAATGCTTTCAACAAGCAGACATTACCTATACCATATGCTTCGTAGTAGCAATAAAAGTCCCATGGATAGCAACATGTGAAACAATTCTGTAGAGAGGACCAACATCTTAATTTAAGTTATAACATTATTAAAACAAAAAATTATGACAGACAACAACCAACAACAGTAACCACTGGAATACAAGCTCCTGATTTGGAATAGACACAGAAAAACTTTTGCAGGGTTAAACATGTTTGTGAGAACTTAACCCACCCCTTATCTTTGGACAGTGGTTTAGCAGAACAACAAAAAAAATCAGTTGAAAAGGATTTGCCTCATCAGATCAACACTTAGCACAAAACATATCTATAACTAAATAACAGAAGACACTACGTACTGATCTAGGAGTACTCACAGTTATTGAAGGTTAATAAAAAGCTGAATTTCAATTATAGAGTAGACATTCTGTATGTGCCTGTCCCAAGTCAGGAGCCTGTAATTCAGTGGTTGTCGTTTGTTGCTGTGTAACACATTTTTTTTTCATTCATTATTTTGTACATAAATTAGGCCGTTAGTTTTCTCGTTTGAACTGTTTTACATTTGTCATTTCGGGGCCTTTTATAGCTGACTATGCGGTATGAGCCCTTTATAGCTTGCTGTTCGGTGTGAGCCAAGGCTCTGTGTTGAAGGCCGTACTTTGACCTTTAATTGTTTACTTTTTACACATTGTGACTTGGATGGAGAGTTGTCTCGTTGGCACTCATACCACATCTTCTTATTTCTATTTGCTCATTGTTGAAGGCCGTACGGTGACCTATAGTTGTTAATTTCTGTGTCATTTGGTCTCTTGTGGAGAGTTGTCATTGGCAATCATACCAAATCTTCTTATTTTTATAGACAGTGTTTTTCGGCCAAATCAGGTTCACTTTTGCTAAAAGTATTTAAATGTGAGAATAAGGTCCAAAATATTTCCAGTTAGATATGAAGTAAATGTAAAATGCAAGAGTCTATCAGATTATGACATCTAATTTTAATATTAATAAAGAACTAAAAGGTAACTGCATTTCATAAATTAAATCATTTAAATGTATCAAAATTATGAATTAGGAAAGGGTATTATCAATTAGAGAGTAAAGTTGTTCCATTTGTTACTTTATGTTTTTCCTGTTAAAAATGAATAATTAATTCCTATTTGACTGTACCCCTGTCTTTTTGCGTATGATTAGCCATGTCCAGTTAGGCCTTTTTTTTAATTTTCATTTATGCACAAGGTGCAGAAATACCTGTTGTACGTCTAGTCATCTAGTCTTGTAAGCCCTCTCAACCATACAATTCTTGCCAGATTTTAGTAAAATTCATATCATAGATTTAGATTATCAATGTCACAGACAAAACGAAAATCAGTTCTTGTAGGATTATTATGAAATTTGCATCAATATGAACAATGTCTTGGATAAGTTCGAAATTCAGTGCTGAATAATTATTTTACTTGAGTCATGTCCCTTTGTAAATTATATTACACATTGCATTGTAAGCACGCTCACACCTGAGATTTTTAAGTAATTTAAGAAAAAAACAGTGCTGACCAATTATTTGTACAGGAGTTATATCCCTTGGAAATAGAAGTTATATGAAAAAATAACAATGTTAGCAATCTCATGTTTTCATTTCTGGTAGAATATAAATGAAAACATTTAAAAGAACCAAAAATTTTTTGTTTGAGTTATTGCCCTTGGACAGATATGAATATGTGCAACAGTGGGGAATATTGGAATGCCGTTTTTTTATATATTATATATAACTTTTACCATAGTATCTTCTACATATACCTTTATAAAATATGTCTTGTAGTAGATTCACATAATAAAACAGTTCTTTGATATACATGGTAATAGCTATATTTATGTCGTGGAGGGGGCATTAAATTTTACCTCTGTACGTCCGTACGAATGTCTGTACATCCCAAAATTAGTTTCTGTTCTAGATCTCTAACCATTCTCGGGTTATGTCCCTTTATAATTGGAAAAATTGGCAAATTTGCATTTTCTGCACTCTAACTTAAGTTTGAATCAACCAAATGTTAAATGCTTATTATCACCAAACACAGATCAAGTTTGAATGTGGGTGGTGTCCCTTTTACTGTTCTTGAGGTCCCTTTGTAAATTAAAAAATTGCAGAATTTGCCGTATATGTACAAGTGGGTGTCCCTTGAACACATTCTTCATTTATTTTTTCTTGTTTCTAGAAAACAATTTTAGTTGAACTAGAGAGTCTGTAATTTGTCTGTAGGTAATAGTATATCGTTTTTAATGAGTTAATTTGCTACTTTGTAGGTTGACTTGATAAAAATATGTGTTCAACACAATGAAATTCTTCATGACAATTTCCAGCAGTTATCTCCCTTGTCACAGGTATTTATAAATGCAGTAAAATCTGTCAGTGCGTCTTTATGAAAATTTTATTAAGACAAACACTGAAAATTCATATGTAATTAAAGCATTAATTGTATAGCAGACATTGGTTTAATCTAAAGAAAACATGTTCAGTCCTAAAATGGACAGTAACTAGAAAACATAGCATTAGCTATAATACTTATGGTAGTTATTTCTCATAAATCATTGCTAGCATGAAAACAAATTCTGTGTGTGAAAACCTGAAGCCATTTTTGTCAGATATAGCAAAATCAGTTTTACCTAGGTGATAAAAAAAAATCTCCTCTGAATCTAAAAGTTGAAATCTTTTTAAACTTTATTGAAATAATTACCAGTACTGATGAATCTTCTGCAAATCATCCTGTTGGATTTAATTAAAATAAAATAAAATGTTGAGTACCTGTATATGTTAATAAGACAGCAACTCAAAATTACACAGAAACCCAAAAGACAAGCATCAACAATAGAGCAACATGAGAAATCTTAGACACTTCATGAGTGTAAATTGAATTTGGCAGGAATAATGTATTATAGGGTATGTCAAAATGCTCTTTCATTTTATTCAGCGGAAAGTAAGCTATTCCCTGAATAGCTAGATGTAAGTCTTAATTCTGATTAGTTTTAAAATGCAAGGATGTGTAGAATAACTAAACATTGTCTCCATACATAAAATTTATTTAAACAACAGCTTAGAAACAGGTAGAATGCAAGATAGTGTCCAGCATTTCTGTTCTGTTTCTACACAAGTACAAGTAATATTTTTTTGGGGGAATGTATGATAGTTCTCCTTATACAGCAACATTGAAACTATTCCAGATGAACTATGAATTCTTAGCAGACAACTTGAAATTCAGCATACCTGTATTCTTTCTAAGCATCATAGATAAAACTGCATGGAAACAATACTGATGTCACAAAAAAAGGCTAAGAAAGTATTAAGCCAAAGTTTATACAATGTTTGCATTAGAGTGTACAATAGTACTGTTACAATATAACGAGCTGCAGATTTATGAATTTGTTATTGAGTATACATGGACTGTACATGTTTATGTTCTAGCTGATGAGAAGATGTTGCCCCAGTGTATTGACACAGTCAATGTTTAATGATACTGTACATGTTTATGTTCTAGCTGATGAGAAGATGTTGCCCCAGTGTATTGACACAGTCAATGGTGGCTCTGCATGACAAAGGAACAATATCACTTGACCTAGCTATACAGCTTCTTCAGGTATTGTAAAATTTATACATATACCTGTACTCATAAATAATAGAGTCTCTGGAAGTCATATCAAGAGAATTTGAGTATTTTTTCTGGATGTTTGACCTCATATTAGGAATGTTTTTATCAACACATTTCCCTTGTTAAACCTCATTTGTAAGTTATCAAGATGATAACTCTTGTGTTTATGTTTTGAGTGCTACAGTTTGATCCTTGAGGACTCAGGGGTATTTTCAATAAAAGGGCATTCAGTCAAACCTGTATATAAAGTTCACCCTTGGAACCAAAGAAAAGTGACCTTATAAGAGATGTGACCTTTGAATTAAGGTTCAAAATATATAGTTATTATTGCAGTGGGACAAGAATGGGGTGACCTGACAAGACAGGTTATCACTTAAAAGAGGTGACTTCTAAAGCAGGTTTGACTGTTGTTTTATAATCTTAATTTTCAGGATGCCCTAAAGTTTTGTGAAAAAGCCATAGAAGCCCTCGCCCAATTAACACTTATCCCTCAGTAGTAGTCTGTCGTACTGGTCTCCTACAGGAACTAAACAAAGCTATCCTTTAAATATATTTCAACTGTCTATTAATTATTTTTATGAATCATTTACTTTTCTTTAATACTTTAAATCATGTTAATAATGGTTATAATCTCTTTTTCAACTACCCAACATTCCCTTTCATTCATGCATATTCATGACTGTGGCAACCAGTCTTCTCTTTCACTATTTTTCGGTTTGCTACTAAGAAAAACAACAAATACAAGTTGTCATTTCGAGGCAATGTGAGGTATGGGTTTTGCTCATTGTTGAGGGACATACTGTGAGTTGTAGTTGTTAACTTCTATGTCATTTGGACTCTAGTAGAGAATTGTCTCATTGGCAATCATACCACATCTTCTTATTTTTATTTTTGTAGTCTTTTGTTTGCCCCAGTGAGCAATCTATAGAAATGAAGTTCAGGAAAGTCCAGTGGCAAATTAAATTTATATTCAGGATGAGAAAATGTTAATTTAATATGAATATTAACCCTGCTTTGTACTAGAACTTTACCTGAGAGGCTTGGATCTGACATCTCCTTATTTTTATATTGAAATTAATCTGAAATAAATGCTTAATTGCCATTTTTATTCTATATGTGTGTAACTAGTTTTACTGTATTTTTTCTTGCAGGGTACTAACAGCAGTGGAGAAATGTATAAAAATACTCATGTGAAAGAGTACCTGGAATTTTTGTTAAATGGTAAAAAAAATAATAGAAACAGCAAGTGGTGAAATATAAAAACACAAACAAAGCCCTAGAATCAAGTTCAAATTACATAATGCACATAAAAAAGATTTTCATTAGTTCTAATCTTGCAGCTATAGAAATAAGATATTGAATTCTTCTAGGACAAATTCATGAAATATTTTGAATTGAACAAAAATTGATTTTATTTTGTACTTTTCTTCATCCTCACAAGTGCTCACACATTACAGAAAAGTTAAACAATTCATCAATAGAAATTGAATGTTTTTTTGACAAATCATATGTGAAAGTAATAAGTAAATTATTCTAGATAATAAAATTGAGAATGGACAAGGGGAATGTGTCATAAAGACATCAACCTGACCAAAAAGCAAATAGCCCAAGGCCACCAATGGGTCTTCAACACAGCGAGAAAATCACGCACCCAGAGGCAGGCTTCAGCTGGACCCTAAAAAAATATGTACTAGTTCAGAGAAAATGGACATCACACTAAACTCCCAAACATATAAATGAACGGAAATTAAAAAAACATACAAGACTAACAATGGCCTGAGGTTATTTGTCCATATGACACCATGCCCCTTTTCAAAATTCGGATAAAAATCCTTATTCTGCTTATATTTTATGAAAGTCTACATTATACTGAATATGTATACTAAATATGTGACCACAACTTAATGGTTAAAAAGAAAATACCATGGGAACATTCAAAATTCATAAATCAAGAGACTATAAAACTGTGAAGTTTCTGCTAACACTATGGTTAATTCCTTACAAAACACTAGTTTACAACTATTACTATTACAATTACATATCACCTATTAAGACAAAATACCTACAAACATGCTGTAACAAAAAACAGAGTAAAATCAAATGCATAAAACTTAGCAAATATAAAAAATTACAAAGCTTAATATTTGTGTACAAATCCTTTTACTAGATAAACTTCTCAGAGACGAGAATTTTAATTTTACTTATCCTTACAAAGTTAATTAAAGTTAAGATTTATTTTGTAGATACACAAAGAAGATACATTTTTGAAGAGGCTGTTGTAAGTATGATGAAGCCAATTGTAAATAGTCTAGCCAATAAAACCATCTTAATGAATGCTTGCTTAGACTGTCAGAGCTAGCATAAAATGAATATGTCATCTACTTCCTTGACTTTTGTGCTGTTAAATTTTACAAAAATCTTCTTCTCTTGGAACTGCTGAGACAAATTTTTACCAAACTTGCCCACAATCATCATTAGGGTATCTAGTTTAAAAAATGTGTCCGATGACCCAGCCTGCCAACCAACATGGCCGACATGGCTAAAAATAGAACATAGGTGTAAAATGCAGCTTTTATCTCTGAAACTAAAGCATTTAGAGCAAATCTGACAGGCTAAAAATGTGCATTAGGTTAAGATCTATCTGCACTGAAATTTTCAGACGAATCAGACAACCCGTTGTTGGGTTGCTGCCCCTGAATTGGTAATTTTAAGGAAATTTTGCAGTTTTAGGTTATTATCTTGAATATTAATATAGATAGAGATAAACTATAAACAACAATAATGTTCAGCAAAGTAAGATCTACAAATAAGTCAAACATGACCAAAATTGTCAATTTGACCCCTTAAGGAGTTATTGCCCTTTAAAGTCAATTTTTAACAATTTTTCGTAAATTTTTGTAATCTTTTACAAAAATCTTCTCCTCTGAAACTACTGATACAAATTTTACCAAACTTGGCCTAAATCATCATTAGAGTATGTTGTTTAATGTCCGATGACCCTGCTTTCCAACCAACATGGCCAAAATGGCTAAAAATAGAACATAGGGGTAAAATACGGTTTTTGGCTTATATCTCTGAAACTAAAGCATTTAGAGCAAATCTGACTTGGGTAAAAATGTTCATCAGGTTTAGATCTATCTGCCATTTAAATTTTCAGACAAATCAGACAACCTGTTGTTGGGTTGCTGCCCTGAATTGGTAATTTTAAGGAAATTTTGCAGTTTTTGGTTATTTTGAATATTATTTTAGATAGAGATAAACTGTAAACATCAATAATGTTCAGCAAAGTAAAATCTACAAATAAGTCAAACATGACCAAAATAGTCAATTGACATCTTATTGGAGTTATTGTCCTTTAAAGTCATTTTCTGCAATTTTTTAGTAATTTTTGTAAACTTTTTTCAAAAATCTTCCTGCTTTTATTTAAACTACTGGGCCAAATTAAACCAAACTTGGCCTCAATCATTATTAGGGTATCTAATACTATTTATTATGATTTTAACCTTATTAAACATGATTTCCAAAACCACAGTAGATACAGGTGAGCGACACAGGCTCTTGAGAGCCTGTAGTTTTAAATTTGGGCACTATTTACCTGAAATAAGCCTGTTTGTAAATAGAATCAGATAAATAATCACTGTACAAACTCTTTAATGACATCACAATAAAACTACATCATTAGAAAACTGTTGTGTTTGCATTTTTATACCTAATATCACCAAGTTGGTTGCATATTCTAAACCCAGCCCTTGTAAAAAAGCAGATGCACCACACACTAAAAAATTGTGCATGACCCATGCTTTTACAACCCAATAAAATATCATCAGTTTTAATGTGAATGAATAGTAGATAGATTTCACCATTCTGAACTTTTCTGCCCCATCAGAATTTCTTTACCTCTATCAGTTTGCAAAATAAAACTTGTAATTTACCCCTATGTTCTATTTTTAGACACATTTTTTAAAGTAGATACTCTAATAATGATTGCGGTCCTCTTGTTTCAGAGAAGAAGATTTTTGTTAAAAATTAACAGACAATGATGGACACCAAAGGATAAGAATAGCTCACTTGACCCTATCGGTCAGGTGAGCTAAAAATGGGAGCAGCTTTAATATTTCTTACCGTAACTTTAAAATGACTTCAACAATAATTTTTAATTGGGTGATCTCATTAATTTGTTCATGCTACAATAGAACATAAGGACCTGCAAAAGGATATATAAAAAATGATTTATTTAACTTTTATTCTTTTTGAGATAAAGCAATTTAAATATCTTGGAAATAGAAATACAAATGTATACAGTTACCTCATGTAAATTTAGAAAGAGCATTTCCTCATGCTCTAGTTGCTAGCAAAATTTTATTAAAATACATTAGATCACATGATTTTATTGAATGTTATGTGTTTTAATCTCAAATTGTTGATGTCATTGTCATGTCAGTTTTGTGGCCCTTAATTGGAATAAAGCATATCCTCTTCTTCTTCATGTACAGACCTGTTACATAGATATCTATGAAGACCAACAAATATTATTTATCTTAGGTTTTGTTGAGTGAAATATATATCAAAAGACTGGCTGATCAAAAATTTGTGGTATCAAAGAAAAGAACAGCTCCTCAAGTCCTACAGTTGGTAAGTACACATTTACTGAGGTAATATCTTTTACCATTTAGCATAACACCCTGTTTTTATGCAAGATGTCTTATATTGAAATATGATATTTCCACTGTGATTTGACAAAATTTTATCAGGGCTTTGCTTAACATTCAATTTTTTTATGCTCCAGCCGCAGCAGAGGGGGCAATAAGTTCAACCCTTGTCCGTCTGTATGTCCCAAAAGTAGTTTCCATTCCCTAACTTTAGTTTGCCTCAACCAAATGTTATGAAACTTATAAACAATGCTTATTACCACCAAACACAGATCAAGGTTGAATTTGGGTGGTGTCACGGACACTGTTCTTGAGTTATGTCCCTTTATAAATGGAAAAATTAGCAAATTTGCAGTTTCCGCACTCCAACTTTATTTTGCCTCAACCAAATGTTATGAAACTTATACACAATGCTTATTACCAACAAATTCAGATCAATTTTGAATATGCTTCACTTTAGTCGTTTTTGAGTTATGTCCCTTTGAAAATTGAAAAATTGCAGAATATACCGTATATTTGCGGGGACATCTGTGTCCCAAGGAAGCATTCTTCATTTATTTCCTAAAAGTTTGATGAAACATTTTAGTTTGGAAAAATATGGTTTTCATTAATTTTAAAATTGAAATTGGCTTTGAACTAATTTCCTTTGGTTAGTTAGGGCCCCGCCTAGTGTTATGAAACTTATAAACAATGCTTATTACCGTCAGCTCTATATCTAGAGAACCATTATAATTTCATACTTTATACTTGACATGTACATTAACCAACACCAGAGTGTGTCATAATGTTTGTACAACTTCCTAGGTCAAAGTTCAAGGTCAAAAACTTTGGTTTCAGTTGACAACCCCATGTCCTATTGTAAAGATGCGGGCCCACAGAGATGGCTCCCATCTCAATGATATCTAGTTGCTTTTGTGCTTCATTGCGATCTGATAAGTCAAGCCCTTTCCAACTGATTTTACAGTTTATTCTTTTGTTGTGCTGTTACACCACTGTTCCGGGCTTGGGGATGGTTGAATGCTCACAAACATGTTTAACCTCATCTCATTTTTAGTTCACCTGACCAAAAGGGTCAAGTGAGCTTTCCTCATCACTTGGCGTCCGTCTTCCGTCATCGTCGTCGTCCGTTAACTTTTACAAAAATCTTCTCCTCTGAAACTACTGGGCCAAATAAAACCAAATTTGGCCTAAAAATCCGTAGGGTATTTAGTTTAAAATATTTATCAAATGACCCCGCCTATCAACCAAGATGGCCGCCATAGCTAAAAATAGAACATGGGGGTAAAATGCAGTTTTTGGCTTATATCTCTGAAACTAAAGCATATTTAGAGCAATTCTGACTGGGGAGTAAAAAGTTCATCAGGTCAATATCTATCTGCCCTGAAATTTTCAGAAACATCAGACAACCCGTTGTTGGGTTGCTGCCCCTGAATTAGTAATTTTAAGGAAATTTTGCAGTTTTTGGTTATTATCTTGAATATTATAATAGATAGAGATAAACTGTAAACAACAAAATTGTTCAGCAAAGTAAGATCTACAAAATTGTCAATTGACTCTATAAGGAGTTATTGCCCTTTAAAGTCAATTTTTCACAATTTTTCGTAAATTTTTGTAATCTTTTACAAAAATCTTCTCTGAAACTACTGGGCCAAATTAAACCAAACTTGGCCTAAATCATCCTTAGGGTATCTAGTTTAAAAAATGTATCCGATGACCCCGCCCATCAACCAAGATGGCTGCCATGGCTAAAAATAGAACATGGGGGTAAAATGCAGTTTGGCTTATATCTCTGAAACTAAAGCATTTAGAGCAAATCTGACATGGTGGTAAAAATGTTCATCAGGTTTAGATCTATCTGCCCTGAAATTTTCAGACGCATCAGACAACCTGTTGTTGGGTTGCTTCCCCTGAATTGGTAATTTTAAGGAAATTTTGGAAGTGGGGGTATCCTTTAGTGAGTTGACTCTTAGTTCTATGCAATACTTTCAGATTGCCAGATACTTACCCAAACTGGTCTATGTCCACTCTTATTTCATTCAGGTATACCATGGTAGGATATTTTAAAATTTAGGTTTCATTGTTATGATTTTTTCCATGGTTCTTTATAGTGTCAGCTATTTCAAAGGTGGGACATTAGTGTCATCCTGAAATGTTTCTGTTTGATAATTCTTTTTCCTCTTAGGTCAGATGGAAAATAGTTATATTGATAAATGCTATGATACAACTCTTGAATGTCAAGATGTGTACGTTGCATCAATTTACAATACATCAGTTTTACTCAAGGTATGAAATTACACTAAAAGACAAACATTGTTGAAAATGGAACACGGTTGGAAATTTTACTTGAAAGTCCTGTCCATTGAGCTATTTTGAACACCATTTTGGCAAATCCTGTGAGCCAGTTACAACTTCCACTTATGTTCTTATTTCAAGAGTCACTGCCAACCAAAATGGAAATCCCACAATTTATTTGGCTTCAAGTATGCAAATATTATATACAGGTGAGCGATTCAGGCTCTTGGGAGCCTCTAGTTTATGTTCCTGTCCAATCTCAGAAGCCTGTAATGTATTGGTTGCTGCCTGAGTATTCTCTTTTGAACATTTTGTTATGCTAGGGACTTTAAAAACTTTAATATGATTTGGGTTTTTCTCATTGTTGAAGTTTGTACAGTCACCTGCACTGTTAATATCAGCGTTTTTTTGTCACTGTTGAATAGTTATCTCACTGCCACATTTCAATCCTTATTGGTATATGTATAATGAATCATTATGCATTATACTGAATAGCCACTCTCAAATAAATACGTAATGCAAGAGGGTGGGGTTTTAAGTTTCATTTTTGTCTATCATCTCAGAACATTTTTATTTACGGTGCAAATGATTTCTTAGGCAGAGTGTTTTGTACAACATACTGTGGATTCATTATTATTTGTTAGATACCAATTTTCGTGGATTTCATGGGTACAAGTGAACCACGAAATTAAATGTTCGACGAATGACATATTTTGTATAGGCTTGTAAGCAGACTTTCGGTAAAACCACAAAATTAAATATCCACGAACATGCAAATTTTCCCTAATCCACGAAAATTGGTACCCACGAAAATATATGAATCCACAGTATTCATTTTTCACAAAATGACAAAATAAATTTGTGTTATTCATGTTCAATTTAACCAAAAGGATTGGAAAATTAAGACCAACACTGGTTGCTGCACAGCCTGCAACAATGGGAGTGTCTACTACTGCATATTTCTACCAAAGTATTCTAACTGATAAGGGGCAGTTTCAAGATGACCTAATTACCAGTTAGACTTTAATCATATTATCTGTAATGTTTTTTACAGACATTTAGAGAAAATAAAAATAGCTGCCTTTAATACATTGTAATTGAGTTGATGCATCTGATATTTTAGCCTGCTGATGAGGGCCATTTTGGAAGAAGATACAATTGGTTGGATTATTTATCTCCCTTTAAAGGACCTGAAGATATGAAACAGCCATGTCAATATATATTACGTGCAAGTCCTACAACAGCTCGGAAAAATGCTTCAAAGATCAAGCAGCATGTCTTATCACATGATTTTTGTAACTGTGGTTTGTGTTTTGAAGACCTTCTGAAATTGCAGGTAATTATTGAAAAATATTAACGGACAATGGTAACTGGCAGCAATGTCAACAAAATATTAGTTTGTGATAAGGTCAGTGTAGGTGGAACCACTAATGGTAGGTCAATGACCTTTGGGATGCAGTTGTATGAGCATTGGTATATCTCATTTTCATGGAGATTATTTAGTCCTGTCCCCTCAGTCATGGTCTATTGACTTTTCCTTAGTTTATATAATGAAGTTTGTGGTAAGGTCAGTTTGAGGGGAGCAAAAAGTGATTTGGTATGCATTGTATTAGCATTCTCACATCTCATTTCCATGGAGATTATTTGGCCACACCCCCTTAGTCTGATCTTAATTTATGTCAATAACTTAGATGAATTGGTTTATCTTACTTACATTTATATATGTGTCTGATCTTTTTCAGAGTTTGTTATGTTTTTCTAAAGCAAGTGAAAGTTTAATGAATAAAGTATTAGAGTTGTTGGATCAAGATTATCTGGTTCCTGGTCACGATTCTATACTGATACTGGTACTGTTAAAAACTAACAAGCAGAATGCAACAGATATTGTGGTTCAGAAATATCCTAGAGTCATTTTAGAGTTTGGGAAATGTATAATGAATTCTGACAGAGAACAGGTAAGATTTTCCCGGTAAACATTGGATACAGTTTTAGTACCCTGATTGGAATGGATTACCTAAAAAAATATACAAACTTTATTTAATATTCTTAACAGTGTCATTTGTGTGCCTTTAATGGGCATTAGTTATCAAATTCATATTGACTGATTTGAGTCACATTCTAATATTTGATTTTTGTCTCGCCTGCAATGAAAGTCACAGAATATGAGACATAGGGATAACTATCCGTTTGTGGCACTGTAAACTATTTGTATAAAGCTTTAAATTTCAGAAGGTAGAAGACCTGGATACTTCATACTTCATATGCAGATACATTATGTTACAAATTTTCTGTCTGTCATATGTCCATTGTCCTTGATCTCATTTTCATGGTTCAGCGACTGCTTTAAACAAAATTATAGTATTTTAATCATGTGAATTTCTCACTTATTATGAGTAATAGAATAACTATATTTGGTATATGGGTTCCTTGCAACATCCACATGTACGTCAGAAGTGGCTCACCTGACCTCAACCTCATTTCATGGATCAGTGATCAAGGTTAAAGTTAGATGATTAGGACTGTTTCTCAGATACTATAAGAAGTAGATCAACTATATGTGGTGTATGGAATGATTGTAAGGGGAACATGTTAATCTGGCAGTTTCATCTGATCTTGACCTCATTTTCATGGTCCAGTGGACAATTTAAAGTTTTTGTGTTTTGTTCTGTTTTTCAAATACTACAACCAATAGGTCAGCTATATGTGGTGTATGGAATGAATTTAAGGTGTACATGTCTGTCTGGCAGGTATCATTTGTCTCTGACATCATTTTCATGGTTCATTGGTCAATGTTAAGTTTCTGTCCTCTTTTCAGATACTTTAAGTAATAGGTTGACTGTATTTGGTGTATGAAATGATTGTAAGGTTTATATGTCTGTCTAGATAGGTTTATTCAAATATTAATTCAAAATTCTGCTTTTAGAAATGTTTGAAACAGAACAAAAATCATATTTTAATTATGTTTGTCTTAATCCTAGCTTATGCCCCTTTAACTTTAATGGAAAGGACATTGATTCAAAAATTATACCAACACATTTTGTTTTTTAGTTAGTTCTTTTATAAATCCTCTTAAGATTTCTTGTTTATGATATTGTTAGATTTAAGTTACTTTTAAAGATGCTCAAACAAGTGTTTCTACAATTTAAATTTATCCACCCCGTTAGATTTGTTAGGGGGCACATTTACATATAACAGTCATACAACCTCACATGGAGTTTGAGTTGTAATACCACCATTGTTTTTCCCCAATTTGTCTTTGTTAAATTTGCACTTTTCAAAAAATTGTGCAGAATTTATCTTTGTTTCAAATAAAGAAATACTTGGCATGAGTAAAGTTTTATCCTGTTCAGTACTACAGACAAAATTTCACATAACATTTCATTGCATATAAGAAACCAACCATAACTGGAAGTTAACCAATCAAATTTTCACTCTTTTTTCCCTGTGTACAAGCTTTAGTAACCATGTAACCTCAAGTTTCCAAAATATTCTATAGAGACACCAAAATAAAAAAATAGAAAACAGAAATTTTTTACTGCATTGAAATGAAGGATTAATTTCCTACAACTGTCAAATTCAAGGCAATATTTTTGTCGCCCCTTTTTCCTATGCAACCGGTTGTGACGTACTATGATTTGGTGGTACAAAATGTATTACACCTTGAACCCCCACAAATTTATGTTATATCTTTTGGACAAATAGTATAAAAATAAGGCTGTTTATATTTACATTGCAGAGAAAAATAGTTTTAGACAGTGTATATAGAGCTCTCCAACAGCAGATAGGGAAACCAGATGACAATGAACCAGTTTATCTGCAGTCATTGAAAGGTAAGTTACACAATGTGTCAATTTCACACAAAATATAAGAATAATTATAACAAACAAGGTCTGCTTTTAAGAAATAATCTGGTTTCCTTTTATATCAGTCTACCTCTTCCTCCAATGATTAATTGAAAGGATGCATACAAATTTACTGCTTTTTCTGGATTGACCTTCAACAGTTACGCTCAAAGTCAAAACCTGGAAAAGGGACAAATGAATAAATTTATGTGGATCCATAAAACCAATAAAACCTTTATAGAAAAGTCATTACTATCCATAAAATGTCAACTTTACCAGCAATTGTCAAGTTGGTTTTTGTTAACTTTACAAAATTTATCAGAAATCAAATCTGATTAAAAAATATTTCTGGATCAGAATTTACAATTACTGTAAATTTAGAAATTATTGCATGCATTTATTATTGCAATTTTTGAAGAATGGACTAAAATGTGAAATTAATTATTGCAATTTTAGGAAAATATGCATACAGATATCAGAATGCGAGTTCTTATTATTGGGATACTCGTCCAGTCGCATTATTCCCAATAATTTCTGAATTTACAGTATACAGCTGGGGCAAATACCTTTGTCATGAGCTCAAATTACCCTTGGGTTTTGTTGGAGAATGTATGATAAAGATTTCTGTTCACATTAAGTAAAAAATATAAAGCATTTGAGAACATAAAAAAGCAACTGGGTTTATATATAAAACAAAGCAGCCAGTTGGAGAGTTGTGGAGGTTGAAAAAGTCGTACCATGTGACATTTTTCTATGCATCAACCTAGATTTTTACACTGGCGAATTAAGCCGATGGAATGATTTCTATAGATTTCCACTTCAAAAATTCTTCCACATATATCTATTTTGACCCTTTAATCCTGATGAAAACCTACTGTAAGATGAGACCACCATTAAATTGATGTTGTCATAAAGACGACATTGTATTGATCCCAACACTGCACATTATTATGTGACGTTTGTGTGTTAAATTTATGTTTTTGATTTTGTTTTATGAATTATTGTTTAAAGTTAGTTCTGTGAAATGAATTTTACCAAAGACAAGAAAATAGTAATTCAATATCCAATGAAAAATGTTGATAGAGACTGAAAAAATACTGTTTATTTTGACTATTACTAAACTTCTGTCTTTTTTTTTTCTTTAGATATACTCGACTGCCTAGCTAGAACAACAGGACCAGAGGAATTTTTAAATTTGTTACCAGACAATGGAAATTTTCTCTTTTTTTTACCATACATATCAATGAACTGTGAAAAACAAAAAAAGAATAATCTAATACAAGTAATAAAGAACAAAGGCAGACAACTCCAAACAACTACATCATAGCAAAATAATAATAAGCTATGTCACATCAGTTTCACTTTGACAAATAGTTTTCTTAACAATTATTTGATCATTATTGATTTTTTTTAGAATAAACTTTGTTTACAAATTTGCTTTATATATAATAGTTCTGTCCTACATTCTTTTCCACCATCTTGGATCACAAAATAGCATAACATAATCTGTCTTAATCAGTCATGAAATATGTAAATTTTGAGACAGGGATGCAATTAAGTTGTAAGAAGTTTCATTTAAATGAAAAAAATTGTATAATTTATCTCATCATGTCGAGTGTTTTTACAAATACATAATATTTTCTGTTTGATTCAAATTATTTTTAACTAAAGGGGAGGTTATATATATACTCAGATAATTACATTTTAGAAAAGGATGTACATTGTATAACAAATTGACCTGTTATTTTTTGTTGCAAGAAGACGAGTTACATGACCCCAATTTTATTTTTGTCTGGCCTAGATGAGGTTAAAAAAAGTGATACTTAGGCTTGCTGTTTCTGATGGCATCAACAATGTATTAGTTTTTGATTAGGTAAGTTTATAGGGGACCACTATTGGTAGTTAAAGGATATTTGGTATGCAGTTGTATTAGTATTGGCACATCTCATTTCCATGAAGATTATTAGGCCCTGTCCCCTCAGTTATGGTCTATTGACTTTGAATGTTTGCATAGTTTACATATATTAGTAGTTTGTGATTATTTAAGTTTATGGGGAACCACTAGTGGTAGTTCAATGATATTTGGTATACAGTTGTATTAGTATTGGCACATCTCATTTCTATGGAGATTATTTGATCCCACCCTCTCAGTCATAGTCTATTGACTTGAAACTTTTGCTATGTTTGCGTGTATTACTATGTGATTAGGTCAGTTTATTGGGAACCACTAGTAGAAGGTTAATGGTATTTGGTTTGGTATACAGTTGTATTAGTATTGGCACATTTAATTTTCTTGGAGATTATTTGGTTCCACCCTCTCAGTCATGGTCTGTTGACTTGAAACTTTTGCAATGTTTGCATGTATTACTTTGTGATTAGGTCAGTTTATTGGGAACCACTAGTAGAAGGTTAATGGTATTTGGTTTGGTATACAGTTGTATTAGTATTGGCACATTTAATTTTCTTGGAGATTATTTGGTTCCACCCTCTCAGTCATGGTCTGTTGACTTGAAACTTTTGCAATGTTTGCGTGTATTACTTTGTGATTAGGTCAGTTTATTGGGAACCACTAGTAGAAGGTTAATGGTATTTGGTTTGGTATACAGTTGTATTAGTATTGGCACATTTAATTTTCTTGGAGATTATTTGGTTCCACCCTCTCAGTCATGGTCTGTTGACTTGAAACTTTTGCAATGTTTGCGTGTATTACTATGTGATTAGGTCAGTTTATTGGGAACCACTAGTAGAAGGTTAATGGTATTTGGTTTGGTATACAGTTGTATTAGTATTGGCACATTTAATTTTCTTGGAGATTATTGGGTTCCACCCTCTCGGTCATGGTCTATTGATTTTGAAAGTTTTGCATACATATTAAATATTGCCATCTCAATTTCAACATTTGCTTTAACCCAGTGAGGATACCCTCTGACGTCATCATTAGGGATCATGTGACTAATTAATTTTAATTGAATTAATTAATTTCTTTGGAAGATAATCTCATCATAAAGTGTTAGGTTACTAAGTATTTATGTGTTAATAAAGTCTATGGGTGTATATTGTTTTTAAGTTCTCTTTTAATCCTGTATATGTAATTGATATACAGGTACTGGAAAACTCATGTTTATCAAACAAATATTTACTCACCTAAGGCTGTGTAAATATATGAAAGATAATTACTTTGTATACTCTTCTTCAATATAATAATATAGTTGTTGATATTGAAAGCTTGTTTTAACTCATCAGTCATTGCTGTATGTTAAAACCTTTAGCATGCTTTGGCTTGCTGAAAATATTATGAATATTTCTGTTGGTTATTATTTGCATCGGCTCTGGGATCAATTGGATGCACATGCTTGCCTATATGAGAATAAAAGTGGGACATTTTTTCAAAATGGAGGTCAACCCGAGCTTCCCTGAGACATTTCAGTCACCAACACCATAAGATCAACTCCATTGTGGAAAACAATAGCGGTAGTCCTAGATGCTTGCTATAGTCTCCACAATAGTTACTAGTAGAACTACCAATGCTTGTTAACCCGGTTACTTCAGTGAAAGTGACTTGAAAGTTATTGCATACAAAAAGGGGGAAGATCAAAACATCAATATAAAGTTCTGGAAAGTTTATAGTTGTCTGCTGCACTGGTATGGTGATCAATAAATCATACTAGATAATCCTGTGATCATATTTGCACAAAATAAATTATATTCTTTTATTATCGGCGAAAAATACCAAAGGGACATTCAAACAAGTTGAAAATAAACTGAAAACGCCATGTAAAAAAAAAAAGAAAGAAAAAGACCAAAACTTGCATATAATAGTTTTTCTTCTCAGAATAACCTCAGGGCCCTCGGTGGCTTAGTGGTCTATGGTCTAAATAGTCAAACTATTGTATCACTAGCTTGTCAACACTAAGTTTGTGAGTTGGAATCCAGCAGGTGCGCTCAACTCCAATCTTAAATGGCTAGGATTGTCAGATTTCCTACCGAAGTTAGGTGGTTCTCTCTGGGCACTCCGGCTTCCTCCACCAATAAAAACTAACCCCCACGAAATAGCATAATAGTGCTGAAAGTGATGTTAAACACCAATCAATCAATTGTTATATGTATCCTTGCACGAGTAAAATATCTATGTTCCTTAGATACATATTTATGCAGCAAAGTCCAACAATATCTTTTAAGCCTTAATAAACTTTTTTGATAATATACCCTATGGGTTGAAGACAACCCTTATTGATTTTGAAGTAAAATGGTCAGAGGGAAAGGTCACAGCAATAATGGATAGATTTTTTCTGGATTATTTTGTTTTGAGGTCATGATTATTCAAAGGTTAAAGCCTATACATTTCATTTCCAAGTAGTTTATATTGATTTATTTATCATAACTAAATTAATCTTTGTTGGATAATGATCTATGGAATGAACAAGACCTCTTTCGAATTTGGGTCATTAGGTCAAAGATCAAGGTTACAGCATGCGGAGTAATTGATAGACTAAAATTAGAGCAAAATTTTGGTTTCCTAATAAATGATGTCTTTTGAACCATAAGTCCTAAGTTTAGGGAAACTTTTGTTTCCTGACCATATCCTGAGTCATAAATCAGGTATTGAACAATCTTTAATCGAGAATATGTCTTCGTATGAAAAGATCCCTTTTAATTTTGAGGTCACTAGGTCTAAGGTCCAGGTCACAGTAGCAATTAAACTGAAATTTTGTAAAATGTGGGGTTCTTAGATTAACGTTTATTGAACCATACACCAAATCATTAATACTCTTAGTTTGGTAATGTCCTTTGGGAAGACACCTATTTATTTTTGAGTTTAATAGACTGAAGATCCATGGTCAGAACAGCATTTGAGAAGCTGAAATTGGGGCGAAATTTTGGTTTCCCTTTTTGCTTTGAACCAAGTAATCTCAGAGGAAACTAATTGAGATAATCGACAAAAATATGAAATTTTTTTTGTCATGTCGTCTCGTAGATCTTACCTTGCTGGACATTTTTGCCACGTAAAGTGTCTATCTATCATAGTTTCTGCCAAAAGAAATTTGTCTTTTACCAAAATCACTACTTTTGTGTATTTTGGTTGTCAATTGTAAAGCTTCAAAAGAAAAGCTTGGCAAAAAAGCTCTATTTCACTTACTTCTGTGTCTTCTCAGAAACTTAAAACCATTGACTTCATATTCGGGTCCGGATATGGCCCTTAAAGAACTTACTCCTTGGTGAGCAGAGATTTAAAGAAAATGATGTTATAAATTATATCAGTACCGAAACACTATCTACTGAGCTGATGACGAAAATTAGAATTGGCATAAATCCCATAGCAAAAACACAAATTCCAACATTCAAACATCCTAACCTTCCTAAAATGGTCCCTATTTCTAGTTTAAATTTCAAATTAGCACAAAATTGGTACTGCCTGAAATTGTAATTAAGTTGGTCACCAACTATTAATTTTGTATTTGTGTGTGTGTGTGTGGGGGGGGGGGGGGGGGCTTTATTAGACTTTATTACAAAAAAACCTATTTTTTTAATATTAAAAAAGAACAAAATTGTTTTAGTGATAGTGCAATAAATGAATTTATATATTTATATTTATATTTTGCCATATTGCTGTCATATCAAATTTGGCTGTAAATTTTGGCAAGATATAATTTCATTTATTGCACATTAATCAAGATTAAGAATAACGCAAAAAATACATCAGAGTTGTCTCATTGGCAATCATACCACATTTGGTTATTTTTATATCAGGTAAAATTGTATGTATCTTTAATAGAAAGAAATTGTGTAAACAAATATTAAACTTTTATTTCTCTTAAATAGAAAAGATGGATAAATGATTACTTTGCCGATTTCCAAAATATGTTGATAGTCAGTGTTGAAACATGTTTATATATTTTTACCATATTTCAAGTTTGAATACCAATAAAAGTTAAATATTTACATAAAGACAAATAACAACGTCCCTTTTGAAGCAATACAAAAATACTCATATCTACATTCGAAATAGTTATTTATAAAGTAAAATAACTTTGCAATTTCAAAGTTAATTTAGTGCAAAATACAAAAAGCAGGAGACAAGAAAAAAAAGTGAAGGACAAAAGATACATTCTCACAAGGAATTCCTTGATTCTCATAACTGTAATTCAAGTTTATAAATTATACCTACAGAAAATGTCAATGTTTAACCTGATAAAGAAATACATTATTTGTATCATAATACACAAGCAGCTTAAGAGCCTTGTCGTAATAAAGATCACTTTTATGTTTTGAATGTTCCAAAGTCAATACGACGTCAAGCGATTTTCCATCTGATGACAATAACAAAATGCTGCCTTTTATGACTACAAATAATTGACCATCTTCATATGTTGCTATGGATTCAATATAGCACGGTTTGTCAGGTTGAAATTTCCATTTCAAAATTCCTTTTAAATCATAACAATATACTAAATTATTTTTTGAAATGCTGAAAAGTCTATTTGAATCAGTTGAAACAGATGTATTACCCCATCGATTTGACGAAACAAAGATATTTCGAATTACTTTCCCTGACAAATTCATTACAATAACCTTTTTTTCTTTTTCGTTTGAATCTGAGGTAAATTTATCACCATATTCAACAACATACATTAATCCATCTTCATAAGCGATTTCATAGTCTGTATTACTTATATTCAGTTCTGTTGTGTTTTTCACAAGTCCTGTGCTAAGATCTAAAACATCTACAGAACGAAGACGGTATGAAACAGCTATTGTATTACAATCTATGAGAAACAGCCGATTTACATAACGCACTTTTTCGAGTTTGATAGTTCTGTCGAACGTTCCATCTATTTTACAGATTCGCAATCCTTTGCCAATTTCGGTAACAACAATATTGTTACCAGCTAAAATGCAATTTCTTAAAAGACCTTCAGTGTTTAATGGAATACACTTTTTCAGTTCTATCTTTACACTGGTAGGTACATACAAATCTACAAGAAATTTTAAAAATTATATCATTAACTTTCGTAATAAAACATATGAAAATAATGGAATTAACTATTTTTGAAGTGTAAAAAATTCCTTGGATGTTTCAGATAGCTTACGTGCTTTTGATGGTACTTTTGATTCGGTTGACAGTTTTGACTTCTTTATATTACACTTCCACACAATATTATCAAACAAAAGTTTTCCTATTTATTTAAATTGTCTTTTGAAAAAATTGATTGCAAATGTATTTGCTGCAGCTCATATAAAACCCTTTTCTATAAAGAGAAAGATAAATATGTAAGATATACTTACTGGATGTGTGATGAGATGATTAAAGCTGTAAATTTTCTACTTGGCAAGATTTATGTACGTTTCGGCAATAAAGTTTATGAACAGGTTGCAGATATTCCTATGGGCACCAATTGTGCCCCTTTAATAGCAAACTTATTCCTGTACTGTTATGAATCAAGTTTATGGCCAAACTCAGTAAAACCCTGTCTAAATTCCATTTAATTGATAAATTCAACAACACTTACCGTTATCTTGATGATATTTTTGCGTTAAATAATCAAGAATTCTCTAAATATACCGCCAACATTTATCCAAAGGAACTTACTTTAAATAAATCAAATATTAACAGCAATAACTGTCTTTTCCAATAATTAGATATTTCAGTATTACACGAGAAACTCTACACAAAAGTTTACGACAAGAGGGACGATTTTTCTTACTCTATTGTTAATTTTCAATTTTTGGACGATGATGTTCCTTTGGCACCGTCTTACAGTGTTTATATATCCCAACTCGTTCGCTATGCCCGTGTCTATGATGACGGTTTCGATTTCAATGAACGTAATCTATGTATTACTGGTAAATTACTAAATCAGGGATTTCGTTACCACAAATTACATAAAACCTTTAGTAAAGTCTTCCATAGATACAAAGATTGGTTTGCAAGTTGGGCTGTACCTGTAGAAAACTTATGTCAAACAGAATAGCACATCCTAATTTTTTACGGTGATGTTGTTTACCGAGCCCCGGAAAATTAGAAACGATCCGGGTAAATTTACTTAAATACTTATTCTTAAAGTTTACCAATGTAACACTGCAATTAGATCTTTGAATTGTTTTTATTGGTATAAATATTGATTTTGTTATCAGTAAATTAAGACCATACTATATATTATGGTTATACACATATGCACATTCACGGTTCTACAATCTAGCTGTCGATACCTTTACTTTGGCATTGTACGAGGTCATATTTTTTTTCTAAATCCATTGGATATTGGATGTGTACTGATTGATATTTTAGTCTTAAGTACATGATTTATTTATTAGTTGTTATTGGGTTTGATCTAGCTGTAAGTAACTGCGAATACTCTCGGATCTGTACTTTTTTATTTTTTGTTCGCTCTGAGGTTTTGTTAGACGTTTTTCTGCTTTGTATCGATCTGATGAGGTAAGCCCTTTTCAACTGATTTTTATTGGTTGTGCTTATGTTGTACTGTTACACCACTGTTCAAGGTACGGGGAGGGTTGGTGCCTTTAAACATGTTCAACCCGGCCACATTCTTTAAGTGCCTGTAAAAAGTTAGGAGTTTGTCGTTGGTTCATGTCTGTTACATTTGATTTTCGTAAATTATTCTGTGACGAAATAGGCCGTTAGTTTTCTCAATTGAATTGTTTCGTATTTTCATGTCAGGGCCTTTAATAGACGACTATGCTGTATTGGTTTTTCTCATTGTTGAAGGCCGTACGGTTGACTATAATTGCTTACATCCACTTCATTTGAACTTTGGTGGATATTTGTCTCATTGACAATCATACCACTTCTCCGTATTTTTAAATAACATTTTAACATTTCTTCAATTGATAAACATTGGTATCTCTCCCTGTTCTATTTTTGATCAAACAAAAATTCTGTAAGATTAAATTGAATTGGACACAAAACCTGGCCCTTTACGTTCGCGCGATAAAACGCATTACGTTTGCATGAATTTTACCTGTTGATAAAGTTACTACGTTTGCACGAATTAATTATATTTTCTAATAAAAAACCAATTAAAACAGAGTAAGATATAAACACGACCGGGATTTAAGATTATCGTTTTTTCCAACGGAGACAGTTGAGAACAGTTTTGTAGATGATATAAAGTCAGATGATACAAAAAATGAAAGGCGCAAACTATCGCCATATACTTAGATGAAATAATATCAGCAGTGAGTATATAATGCCACCAGGAATGTGGACAGCTGTTCCAAAATGAAAGCACTGATCGAACCAACAATGGACCAGAGTCTTTTCACAGCAAGGACCGACTTATACATTGTTCCCGTCGAGATTACATACTGTGTTTTATACCAAAATATGGTTTCTATACTTAAAATATTCATGTCCAGAAAAAACATACTATATTTTATTCTGCATGTACTTGTAGCGCTTTATAATGTTTATATAAACGAATAAAGACTTCTCTGAAACTCTGGAGGCATTCATTTTTTTCAATATTTTTTCAAAAGTTTACCAGTGATCGTCTCATAGTTTTCTTTGTTGATTCTACACCAACTAAAATCCATGTTAGTACCTCCAGTACCATTTTCAAGGCCTAATACCGTTAATTTGCTATAATATTGCAGCAGTTTGAAACTGATAAAATTCTTCTTATGCACTGTATTTAGTTTGAAAAGTGCCCTGATTGATATGAAGTATAGACTCTCACCGGGCTTTAAGTGTTTTTTTAAGTCTATTTGGTAGATCGATTGTTTGATATATATTTTTGGTTTATTTGTCTAAGGAATACGATGTCAGTAGAAATAAGAAGATGTGGTATGAGTGCCAATGAGGCTTATATCCCACATTTACTTTATTCATATTTGAACAACAATATACTGCAAACCAAATTGTGAGAAAAGTAAGATGTAGTTGGTAAACCGTGTACCTTTGGATTTTGGAATTCTCAAATTGATGTTCACGTTTTCCCTTTCAGCGGTTTTAACCTTGGCTTTGGTCAATATATTGGTCATTAATTGGTTGATTTCTGTGCTTAACTTCTCTGACTCCAGTAAAACTTTTTTCGCTATTTCTGCAAATATGTATAGATCATCACTAGAAACAGCCTTGATTTTTAACCCAGTATCACTATTGCCACTCAAACGTATTTGTTCGGCTGCTTTCATTATTTTTCTGGTGTTCCACGATGTTGGTACCTCTAACTGGAAAAGAATAGGAACAGCCTTTTGATCTGAAATAAAAAATGGTTACACGTTTTTGCTACTTTCTAAGAACAATGCATTGATTGCAAGGAGAAAGCAAAGAGTAGGTTAAAGATTGATTCTGAAACTTTTGTTGTTTTCTATTATTCAAATGCTTAATTATGAGTATTTATGGTATACAACAACAGTCACTTATTAACTACAGAGTCTATTGCGACATAAAATTCAATTCTACATTATCCTTACAAATACAAGCTGCATCAAGGGCATGTAGATCTCAAACAATATCTATAATTCACTTACTTTGTCATTAAAACATATTATGAAGCTTTATGTTAGTGAAACATAACGGGGCTAATGATTATCGATTGTTATTCTTGTTATAGTGCCCTCAATTAAATGCAAAGGAAATTCAAACTCTTATGTAGTTTTTATATTTTCATACCTTCTTCTGTAGTTGGCGTGTCCTGTGGTTCAAATAGCTGGGTTACACCGTCACTTCCAAATGCATTTATGAGGATTTTATCAACAGCTGTATTAAGGGTTTCTGTAATTATTCGAAACAATGTTACAGAAGAACTTATTGCAAATGAAATCGCATATGAACATTAACTTATGGAAGTTCAAACAAATGAATAATTCCAGATTCACAGACAATACCAAAATCGCCAAATGTCTGCTTTGATCATGCTAGTGAAATGCTAAAACGTTAGATACTGGAGAGTAAAATGTACAATACATATATTTTTTACGTCGTCGTAATATTTTTTTTTCATTAGTGTGTATGACCTATATAATCAATCAGGTCATGCCGGGTTTAATATGCCTTGCTATATACACAGTGAACAGTCTGATCTTTCAATCTTTATACAACTTGTTCACACTTAGTCAAGGTAAAATGTATACGTATTCTATTCACAAAAAAATTGTCCGGAAACTATTGACCGTGGGTTTTAAATGTCACTCTGCAATTAAAAATCAACGAGATTCTAAGGTAAAGGAACCAGGGCATTGGAAAGACCTTCCTAACATTTCATGTTAAGACCAAAGATGGTTATCTGATCTTATTTGAAATCAACACTTTCATGTATGTAAGCTTTTTTTTTTTGCGTGAACCCCTGAGGGTTCACGCATATAAATTAGTTAGAAATATAGTCTATGGAGGAATATTCGGAAGCTAAATTATTGTTCATTCGGAACACCTATTCATCTTATCTGTATTAGCTTCCTGCAATTAAGAGCACCTCCATACGGGGTATCTAAGATATTTAAAACATGACAATAAAGAATTTTCACAGATCGCTAATTCACTTATCTGATATATGATAATAAACAATTTATAGATCCTTTTCAAACATGTATATTTATTGTAAAGCTACATTTTATGCATTGCAATGGTTTACTGACTTGAGCAAAGTTGACAGTTGTACCCTTTGATAAACAAGTGAAAGATAAATGGTAAAGATTTAAGTATAACGACCTATGCACATGGTATCAAACATCTGTGTCTAGATATTCACAGAGAGATATTTTAAAATAGTGCTGTGGCTTCTACATAATGAGTTATAGTGGGCTTTGGGATTTGATTTGTAACAATAAAATCATTATGCATACTTGTCATTTTGACAAATCAGATAAAAAAATCTGTTTCAAATGAAAATAAAACAAGTAAAATATTAAAAGACTATTCGTTAATATACATTTTTTACAACCTTTACTGTTTCCTTTTTACAGTATTCGCTATCAATTAAGTTATCTTGTAAGCTAATTAAATGTTTATTTAATTTATTGATGTCACTTTTATTTCTTATATTATTCACACACTGTAGGTTAATACTCTTAAATGTATGTGTGTTTTGGATGTGCACTAGTGATTGGTAAATATTGATACGTTTCTGTGTTTTTAATATACGTGATTTAACATCAAGATTTCCATTATTATGGAATCGATCACCTTTGTACACTTCGGTATCTAAATAGAGGGTGGTAAAAAAAGGAGGGGAGGTCTGAACACGGAAACACTTGAAATAACAAATCGCAAAAACGTTGCACGGAAAAAAACACTCTGGAAAAACGAAGCCAAGGAATAAAATCGTAAATATTTAGGAAAAAAGTACCAAAAGTTATTACTCAGTCATTCTTGGAGATCATGAAGTCATTATAAATTGACATGGCGACCCTGCATGTGGTCACTTTTTAGCGTCCTCTAGTTGCATACGATTTATCATAGTAATACAATAGGCTATTAATAAATAACTTGGGACCAGTTAATTAGTTTATAATTTAAAACAATATCGGGGCTGACTTTGAATTAGTCCCGGTTTACCTTTTAATCAAATGCGGGACAAGCACGAGAAAATAAGAGTACCGACATTAAACACGGAAAATAATTAAGGGAAAACACGAAGCACGCACGTCGAACCAAACACGAGAAACCGAGAAATAAAACGTCGAAACACGAAATCACGTGAAATAAAAAGGCCGAAAACGTTGCACGAAAATAACCCTTTACCACCCTCTAAATAGGTCATACTAGATGTCGACACCTCATATTAGAACTAAAGTAGATGGTCAGTTTCGTTTGCTAGGTTAAAGAAATCTTCAACTTGCTCTAATTTGCCTGTGAAGACCATAAAACCGTCATCCCCATTGACAGTGTAATTTGATGTTTTCTCTCCATTGGAACTTATCCAAGATTTTAATGAATAGGACAGACAGATGCAGATCTGTGCATGTTGGTGAAAATATACCACCCATGGGCGCTCCTATAATGTGTTTGTATCGGGAGGTTTGGCTAGCCACAAAACCAGGTTCAACCCACCATTTTTTTCTTAAAATGTCCTGTTGCTTTATATTTAACACTTCTCTCAACATGCCAAAATTGTAATGATTTAAAATAAAAGGAAAATATTATCTTCAACACACATGACCATGCAAACACTGATATATAATTTCTTATTCAGTTGAATAAATAATTAGAATAAAAAAGTTCTAAGGTTCACATCTTGTCTTTTTTTTTTTAAAAAGCAACTTGTTTATAGATATCATTGTTACCAGCAGAAAAAAGCCCTTATTTTTTGTTGTTATCGAATGTGGTTGAAGCTAATTTTGAAGTCATACGTTTTTGAAGCTATATTAGAATACTATGGTCAACCAATACGGTATGTTTGTTATATATGAGTCAAAGAATATGTGTATTGAATAGAAGTTTCTTAGTAAACTACAATAAGAGTATTTTGACCATTTATTTATGACATTTGAGATACCGTAAATTGTGAAAAGAGAACAAAATAGAAATGTTTAATATGGATACATATATAGTCTGGTATTAGACAAATATTTTGTTGTCTGTGTTAAATAATTGATCAATAATCACATAGAAACTATAAGAAAGTATCATTAAAAGAACGATTCGAGATCATTTTTGTTCATATGTTTTTGCTGTCAGTGTGTGTATTATGTTATTATAAAGTGTTGATTTTTTGTTGATTTTTGTATTACACTCAATTCTTTCATGTCTATTAACAAGGATAAAAAAACATATGAACTGATATTTGTATCTGATGGTATATCGTGTGCCCAAAACCCTTCATTACATTGACGGATTGACTTTAAGATATGGGTAAATAAGCTAGTGAACTTGGTGAAGAAAAGATAGAAATGGAGGAAGCTATAGACACAGCGTCTGCAGAAATAGAAAACACAGCAAGAAAAAGAACTTTTACAGAAAAGGGTAAATCATACGAAAAGAAAACAATTGATGATATGTTTGAGGCTATAAAGAGACTGTGAAAACATTTTGTCATTTATATCAAGAAGTCATAAGGGGTAAATTTTCACTATGGATGGATAAATATGAACATTATTTGGAGCAACATCAGAACTTTATGGCAAGAATACTGGAACAGGAGAAGGAAGAGTTCATTTATATTTATTAAGACAGAGGAGCATTTTTATGTGATTTCAAGGACGATTGAAAAACACTTTTCTGATACTCAGAGCCAGACGAGTACTCGACATAGAAGTGGCAATTATACTAGCCGTCAAGGTTCTGTATCAACTCATAGTGACAGAATAGCGTACATAGCAGTCGTTCCTCCTTATTAGGTGACATTTCTTCAAAGAAGCTGGCTGAAGAGCAACAAAAAGTTGAATTAGAATTAAATAGGGAAGCTTTAAAAAAGAAGAGACAATTAGAATTGGCAAAAATTAATATTAAGATGGATGAAGAAGAATTAGATTTATCAACAGGCATTGCTGTTAAATCTGTCCTTCTGTATGGAAGTGAATGCTGGAGAGTAACGAAAACAGATATGAGATCGCTCTCAAGTTTCCACCACAATTGTCTGAGGCGAATCTGCAAAATCTTCTGGCCAAACCGTATATCAAATGAACATCTCCTTGAAATGACTAAGTCCTCATGTATTCCGAAAGAAATTCGACAGAGGCGCTTCAGATGGCTGGGGCATGTTCTCAGGATGCCTGTATCCAATATCACCAGGATAGCTCTTAGATGGACGCCCCAGGGGAAGAGACCAAAAGGAAGACCCAAAACCACCTGGCGTCGAACGATTGAAGCAGAACTGAAGGAACTTGACATGACCTGGGGAGAAGCCGAAACAAAGGCTAAAGACAGAGTTGGATGGCGAAATCTTGTGGCGACCTTATGCTCCGCCAGGAGCGAAGAGGATAGGTAGGTAGGTATTGCTGTAGCAAATGTTAAGACAAGATTGTTAAAAAACTCTCTTAAATAAGTATGAACAGTTAGAATATGTGAAATCAGAGACACATAACATGCATAGTAAGACAAAGATAAGATAAAGTTGTCGAAGTAAAGTTAAATCCGCATGCACCGCATTTCGAGCCAAAAGTGGAGAGTGGAAAAGTCAACAAATAAACGGACTACAAATATCGGTACAACACCTGTTAGTTCTTCTAATTGCCATAGTCTAGTTACAGTGAAGAAAGAACAAACCACAACTACAACAAATAGATAAGGTTCTAAACCAACAGATCAGAACAATAATTCAGAAGCCATTACTGTAAAAAATCCGAGAAAACCTATGCCAGAAATAAAAAAGTTCTCAGGCGACCCATTGGAGTATAGAAAATTTGCGCGACAATTAACAGTTAAATTAGTACAAAACAGTGATACTGAAGACGAGAAGATGAACTGTTTCGGAACAGTTTACTTTTGGAGAAGTACATAGAGTAGTGTCAGGTTTAAGTCATTTAAGTGGTGAATATGCTTATCGAGCAGCGACGGAGCAACTTGAAGAAAGGTATGGCAACAGTGAAGTTATAGCTAATGCCTTCATTGAGAAAGCACTTGATTGGCCAATACTGAAAGCAGGTGATTCGAAAGGTTTGGATGAGTTTTCGCTTTTCTAATAGAGTGTGAAAATGCAGCACATAGTATTAGCGCTTTGCGTATCCTAGAGTACTCAGAAAATATAAAACCACTCATGTGTAAATTTCCGTTTCATCTTAATGATAGGTGGAGAAGTGTTGTTCTAAGAATAAAAACAAACAAAGAGACAGTTCAAT